AGAGAAACTTGTGGTTCAAATTGAAGACACTTTCTTTGAGGTGAACCTTGCGATAGTCAGCTTTGTTTGCTTATGTAAGACATCAAAAGCCCTAAAGAATAAAAGAGATGGTTCTGTGTGTAAACTTATTTAACTGGCCAACGTTATCTTCTATACGGATATCACAACTCATCCTTCGAGTAACCTCTGCCAAATAACATCAGCATCTTCCATTTGGAAATATGACGTCACTTCTCAAAACCCATTTTGCACCCTTCTTCACCAACTCCGCTTCATGTCGCAAACAAGCATCACCGTGCTTGTGCAACAACGCCATTCCTTTACTAGGATGGATATTTAGCGCCTCACTGCCATTGTCAGGGTAAAAGATCGTGCCCCCGCCTCTAAATTCGTCATCGCCAGTTAAATAAATAAGTAGTGTCCACTGCGTCCTGCCCTTGGATTTCCCACCGGGAGGCACACTGCACGCAACTGAGTCGTCGTAATGCGCACCGAAATGGTGACCTTGCGTGTACCGATAAATTCTCAACTGTGGGTTTAGCCCAATGGCAGATTTAAAAGTGTCGACAACTTGCTGCTTGTCGGCGTCATCGTATGGGTTTGTAGTGAGGATCTGTCTCATGTATTGCCATAATGTATCTGCTGATTTCAAGTCGGTTACGAGGGCCCTGTCGTTGTATCTTGCTGCATAATCTTTGCTTTTGATGAGGGGTGTCGTTTCCAATTTCAACGTTGTCTCAAATGACTTGATCAATTCTTGACATAGCTCAGGCTTGAAGAAGTTGTTGATGGTGATTACTTGATCATGAAGGACTATTTCTGGCTCGGGAACGTAGTAGGGGGTGAGCGAGTTTGGTAAATTGTTGAACTTTGTAGGAAATTCAAATGTATCGAGCTTCTTCTTTGACATGAGTACTGAATCTTTTTGTTTTCTTTTTTTTTTTTTTTTTTTTTTTTTCTTTGCAAGAAAAGATGAATTTTTTTTTTTTTTATTTCCATGTCTATAACAGTGACTCTAAAGAAATCAATAAGCTATATACCTCCCGGGGCATCTTGTACTGTACCATACCCGCATAAACCACACAATTTTTAGCTATTTTCTTCCAATGATTCAACTCTTCACGTTCATTGCTCAATGGTTGGAATTTTCTTGCAAGAATACCGTAATTCAAATTGGATATACATGTCATCACCAATACGAGCAATGATGGCAACACCTTGACCAAGTTGCCATCCAATTTGTTGTTGGTGATCAAGTCACTGTAGTTTCGAACTTTTAGCAAGTCGTCATGTGCATCTGCTGGAATCAAGTCAAGTTTGTTGATGTCGGAAATCACTTCACGCCATTGTCTCTTTACAAACAATTCACGAATCTTGATGATTGAAATGAGCAAGTCGCAAGTTTGCTTCACTGGGGGAGAAACTTTGCTGATATAGCTGCTCTTTGATATATTGCGCCAGATATGTTCCGATTGTAACACCAAGCTGTTGTCGATTGAGCCCCCGTTCAAGATTGACTTGTCCAATTCGCTAGTGGCGATGATGTCGGCCAATTTATTATTCATGAGCACCACAGTTGCTTCGTAGTCACGAGCGAGTTGGTAAAGTAAAAGAGCATCAAACACTCTTCCCTCATCCTCACACTTGACGGCAGTGGCGCCTACAATGTCGTGTTGGAACAAAGTCAAGTCTTCTAATCCAATCAATTTGCGTTGACTTTCCAATACTCCAGGCTCTATGAAACCAGTTTCAGGGTGCAATTCTCCAATAAGGGGCCCAAACTCTCTTGTTACAAGTATGAGCTCCTTTAATGCATCGTGGGCTAACCGTGTATCAACTAAAGCAATCATGATGAGATACTCACACGCGGCTTTGGGATCACTTATTTTGAAGGATGTTGTATACGTACCAATGATTCTACCGAAATTCACCTGGTACTTGTTGTTGTTGACGGTTATGACTTCGTTTTTATTTGAATTGTAACAGTGGAGTACGCCATAGTATGCTAGGCCAATGGCCAAGTGGACCGCATCAGCCTCATTGATAACATCATAACAATACTGCACTGCCAACTCATACAACCCGGTCAAGATCAAGGTCTTTAGATATAAGGAGTAACTGGACGATGCAAAGTACTTGGCACCCAACAGAAGGACATTATTTTGAAGATTGGACAATGAGTAGTTTTCAAAAATTGATGACTCACTTTCATTGATGATGGACAAGTGGAACCATAACCAATCCTCCACACTTAAATTGATTGCTTGAGGAAGTGATGGATTGCTCAAATCGCATTTACCAACAATTTTGTAGACTGAATACTTGTAAGGATCGAAATTGACACTAGTTTCAATATCATTCAACACATATTGAAATTGTTGACTAAACTCTTGATGAATTCTTTCGCTCAAGTTCGAAGGTAATTTATGCTCATTGACAAATGATTTCATGTAAACTGGGAAATTTCGATCAAACTTGTTGAAAAGTTCTTCATTTCGGGTGACTAAATCTCTTGCATCAGCATAAAGACCGGCACGCATCAAAAAGTAAATCAAAGCCCAAATTGGCGTTCCATTCACTAGCAATGTCTTGTTAACCAAGTCAGGTTCATTTTTGAGAATGACTTGGTGGATGAAAAATGACACTTTATTGATATTTGTTCGTGGAAGGAAATTGGCTGGCTTTTCGTGCTTGACATATACATGATCAATGTAATTCAAGAATTGCGCTTCCAAGAACTGCTTACTACTCAATACAATTTCATTTTGCAAATCCAGCTCGGAATAATTGGCAAATTTCTTCTCCTGACTAGTCTTTGCAAGGTTTTCCAGGGTGAAATTCTGTAAAATCTTCCAAACGTCTCCAACTTGTTTTGATTTTGAATCGTCTTGTCCCTTGTTCAACTCGTGAAAGTTTAAAAATAATGAAAATGGTTCATCAAGTAAGCGAGATTGATTCAATTCGTAAATGACCTGGGCATAGTTTTCAAATTTCTCACGTGAGATTTGTTTCAATGAGGAAAGGGAGGAGCTTGTAGTTTTCAAAGGAGTGAAGATGTTTGCTGCTGCTGAAGTGGATTTCCAAACTACTGCCAATTTGGCTGCTTCCTCTTTGAACTTGGCACTATCTTTTATACCCATTGACTTTCTCAATTCGTCTCTTCTTGCCTTCCAATCGACTGATATGTTTGCATTGATGTAGTTGTCAAAATCGTTTGATGCTGCCGAGAATGATTGTTCAATTGTGCTCAAGATGTTTTCTTCTTTTCTCTTTTTCAAGTGACTTTCAACCGTTTCTGCATTTGTTGGCTGGTAGAAAGAAGTGGTGGTTGTTTTCGGTAATTGAATCTTGTTCAATTCGTCTTCAATATCGCCAGTAGCAACACCTCCACCGGCTAAGAAATAGTGTGCCTTGGCATTGTTGCCCCCAGCTTCTGCTTCTTTTCTTAGTTGTTGTGATTTACGTTCAAGTTCATCCAAGGTTAAACGTATAGACCCAAAGTTGTGGTAGTTGATGTGAGATTTGGGCAAGTTGCTAGCAGAGTCCAAAAGATCTTTCAAGATTTTATCGCTGCTGGAGTTGTCTAATGAAGCGGTGATGTCAACAGTGGTTGTGTTTAGTGAGGTAGGTTGGTTGATTGTAGTTTGAGTAGTTGATCCGATTGAGATTTGTGGTTGCTGCTGCTGCTGCTGTTGTTGTTGTTGTTGTTGTTGTTGTTGTGGTTGTTGTTGTTGTTGTTGTTGTTGTTGTTGTTGCTGCTGCGATTGACCAAAAAGCCCTCCACCAAGCGAAGGCGCACTCAACTTATTTGCAAACATTCTGTATGATGTCACTAGTCTGGTTAAGTGACGGTAATTGATGGATTAATAGCTGGGCTGATGTAAGTCTAATCTCCTGTTCTCAATTGGTGGTAAATAACAACAACAGACAACAAAAAATTGACCAAATGTATGATAAACTATTGATGTATGGATGTGAGTAAAGAGAATCAAACAATTCTGAGCAAGAAACAAAGACAAATGAAGAAGACGAAAAAAATTTTCATTTTGAGACCCATCTCTCACTTTCTTCTTCTTTTCTTCTTCAACTTTGTCCAAAAGTATTCCATCACTATAGACAGTGCATTATACTTGGTGTCTATAAAACATCACTAGCAGAGTGACTCTCTCCCTCCATACAATATAGGCTTCAGTTTTTGATGTTCCTTTATTTGTGCTTGAGGAGAGGGGAATGGTTTAGTATGCTATGTGAATATTTGTATGACCATTGTTTTCAATCAATATCAAATGCGATGCGTTGATGGATAGAAGAAATGTTTTATTGTATCTTTTAAGAACCTGTCTGGAATGTATATTAATGAAAGAGAGGTGTCAGTAGGTGCAAATATTTTATTTTTTATTGTTTTTTGTAAATTAAGACTTGTGGGTTGGTAGGGGATGGGGTGGTGACGTGGTTCCCAGAGTCCAAGTACCCCTACTTTGATCTGCAATGAAGTTTGAACTCATTGTATTAGGCTCTGTTGTAAATACAGTAGTCGTTTATGTTTCATGGGTGAGATTTCAATACAACATTTTTACCTTTAAACACTAAGAGCTCCTTTGCTATCAATGACAATCCTTGTCATCCAGCAAAAAAATTATTTCCTTCAAATAGTTGGGAACTTCCAACTCTCTTTTTGCCGTATGTATAATCTCGGTGTTATACCTCCGTCATTTGTGTGTGTGTGTGTGTGGGGGGAGCTTAACTACAGGATTGCATTTAAGTTTGCACAAATAAGACAAACAATAGCAGGGGGGAAATCTATTGATCTCTTGAGTGCACTACTTTTGCAAAACGAAGGTATAGGCTTATATTCTCATTTTACACTGTCATTTCAAATGAGTTAGTTTTAGAAAGATGTAATGAGTCTAAGCAAAGAGACCACCTCCTCCCATATCTGATGGGGTAAGGTAACATTAATTTTCGTACACCAATTCTTGTTAATGTCGTGCGAGTGATTTTAATTTTATTTGTGCAACTGTATGCTAATGTGAGATCCCTTTAAGAAAGACTACTTTTGACAATTATACAAACCTTCAATTTGCGAATATACAAATACGATGCATGGATTGTCTCTTGGAAAGATGCTTCACAGATGCAGCATTCATATATATGTATATATATATATCAAACCGTTGACATAGTGTTTGCATAGTTTCTAAACTTGGATGAAATTTTTTTTTTTTTTTTCTGCACAAAGGGTCCTTCTATTTCCAACGTTTCTCTGCTCTTGGATTCAAAAAGGGAAGTAAAATGTACCCTAAATGTTATATATTAGGCCATACTTTGATTCGATATGTTCTTGCATTACAGCACATCTGCGGATGCACAATTTGCCACACAGCGAGTTAGAGGCTAATCTTGGCACCCTGTAGAATTTTTCGTCGTGACTTTTCTTATCTTTCAGTTCCACAGTAACCATGTTGGGGTGCAGCGAATCACCGCGCAAAAGGGAATTGAGCAGTTAGACCCAGTTCTTTGGCGATGATTTGACGATGAAAAGCGTTCACAGTAGAAAGTGAAATTAAATTGACTCTTGTGTGAGATCTAAATTGGTCCAATTTTGTTTTGTTTCCTTTTTGTGTCAATCACCGTAACCGCCTGGAAAAGATTTTTTGTTTTCTCTCTCTCTCTTTCTTTGTTTTCATTTCTTTTTTTTTTTTCCCAATAGATTATACGATTGCAATACATATATATACAGAGAGAGGTTTACGCAAAAAGATATAAAAAAAAAAATTTTTTTTCATCGTATTTCTTCTTTTTATGGGGTACCCATAAATCTACCAACTGATTATTCACTTCCACTATACTCTAAGGACAGAGGACTTTTTAGGTACATTCCCTTTCTTTTTCTACAAAGTTTTCCCTCATTTCATTTTTATTATTTATTCAGTATCAATTGCTGACCCATGAGTAGCAGCTTCAAAAGTCCAGACAAGGAGGAGTACATCTCTTCCTCCTCCTTCCCAGAGGTGGAGAAACACATTGAATCCGAAGAATCCAAATCCACTCTTTCTTTCAAAGATGATTTATCGGCGCCCAAGGGAGAAATGAAGAGAAACTTTTCCAATCTAAGTCTTGCCATGATTGGATTCTCTTTAACCAACAGTTGGTTGGGCATTTCGTCAAGTTTAGTCACTGGTATCCAGTCAGGTGGTCCGGTCTTGATTGTTTATGGTATTATCATCGTTGCTTCTGTGTCTGTGTGTATTGCCGTTACTTTGGGTGAAATGGCAAGTGCCATGCCCTCGGCTGGTGGACAATATGTTTGGGCCAGAGTTTTGGCACCAAAGAGATATGCCAGCTTCTGGGCCTACATTACTGGTAGTATATCATGGGGTGGGTCCATCTTTACAACAGCATCAATGTGTTTGGCATTGGCTTTGGAATTGTTGGGGTTTTGGAATTTGAATCATCCCAATCATGTCACCAAGAAATGGGAAATTTTCATCATTTACAATATCGTCAACTGGTTCTTGTTTTTGTTTAATGTTTGGCACAGATTTTTGCCAATCATTGGAAACAGTATATTTAGTATTAGTTTGACTTCATATGCGATTATCTTGGTCACGGTCTTGGTTTGTTCAAGGGGTCATTATACCTCAGCTCATTTTGTCTTTGTTGAGTTCACCAATGGTACAGGCTGGCCATCGAGTGGTATTGCTTTTATTGTGGGGTTGATTAACCCAGCTTGGTCGTTTTCTTGTCTTGATAGTGTCACCCATTTAAGTGAAGAAACTTCACAACCAGAAAGAGATATCCCAAAGGCTGTTTTATCCACTGTGGCCATCGGTTTTGGTACTGCATTCACTTATTCCATTGCCATGTTTTTCTGTATTCGCAATCTTGACACTATTATCAAGTCTACCACTGGTATGCCTATTCTTGATATTTATTACCAAGCCTTGGGAAACAAGGTTGGTGCCACTTGTTTGGGAGCTTTGGTGTTTTTAACTGCTTCCGGGTGTACCATTGCTTGTCAAACTTGGCAAGCTAGATTGTGCTGGAGTTTTGCTAGAGATAATGGTATGCCAGGTTCCAAGTACTTGTCTATCATTGACCCAAAGACTGGTGGTCCATTATACGCCCATTTATTCTCAACTGTGATGGTCACTGTTGTCTCCGTCTTGGTGTTTTCTGATGCTGCATTACAAGCCACATCATTGGCATGTGTCTCATTCTTGGTCATTGCTTATGCAATCCCAACAATCTGCTTATTGGTGAGAAAACGTCAAATTCAACACGGTCCATTCTGGTTGGGCAAAATTGGAGCATTTTGCAATGTCGTTCTTTTAGTATGGATGGTGTTTGTTTTGGTGTTCTTTTCATTCCCAACGTATTACCCAGTCACTGCCGCCGGTATGAATTACTTTTGTGTGGTTTTGGTGGTTTACGTTGCATGCATGCTTATCTATTGGTGGTTCCCAATGCAAAAATATGCTTGTAAGAATAATTTTAGAGGTGGTCAACATAACAAGGAAGAAGTAGAGTTTCCCCATGTATGTTTGACAGAGTGGTAGACTACAGTATAAACAGTATGCATTTAATTTATAAATATAAACGTACTTTTTTCTTTCTTCTTTCTTCTCTTTCTTCTTTCTTCTCTTCTTTTTTCAACTACGTTGGACTAGTTCGTTTGAATATAGGGAAAAACTATATAATTTTACATTTCTAAAAACACATTGAACCAAAAAAATTATAATTTTTTTTGTCTCTGTATTTTTTTCAATTGTAACAAAATTTTCCCCTTTGTGATAGCCAGCCCGCCCACTATAAAATACGCATGTTATCCGGAAATCCACTTTTTTCTCGGAAATTCTGCGCACAAAAATCAGGGGGCTTTTGTGTCGGTGCTTATTTCCGACTAAGCGTCCCACCCAGCTCTTTCCCTCCAAAAGGAAGAAAAAGATTGATTTTCCAATTGTCATTCGAAAAAGAGTTTTCCTCTGTTATTTGCTTGTGTCTCAAGTGACATAAAAGACCCGAAACTGTAACAAATTTCCCCCTCTCCCCCTCGCTTTGCCACATTTAACCTGTAAAAAAAAACCAGAGTTTTTATAGAGCAGCAGACCAAAATCAGCTTACCCAACCATACCAAAACATAAGGGATTTCCGACCATAAAAATGCATGGAGTTTCTGGGGAAAAAAAAGGGACCGATGCCTTTGGACTAACGAATAGTCTCACATTCGTGTCTGACAAATACTACCAAAGTAGCCATGGCAAGGGGGGAGGATGAGGAGAAAAAAAAAGAAAGAAGAAGAGAAAAGGAAAAGGAAAAGGAAAAGAAAAGAAGAAGAATTTTAAAGGGAGGCTGGGGATTTTGATGCATTTAAATAATTAAATAAAAATATATGCACAGCTATGGGTTGGGTGTGTGTAATATGTACACCTTTTCTCCCCACGCCTATGCCTATGAATACATATTACAGAAACAAAATAAACAACACAAAAAAGGAAAAAACATAGCAATTGAAACTGTGTATTTTTGCATGATGTTGAAAATAAATTTTGTTTTTGTATTTTTTTTTTTTTTTTTTTTGCGCACGTGTGTTATCTTATCCACAGTTTTTTAATTCCACAAATACATTTTCCAAATTGCCAGTCAAATTTGAACATCAGAGGACAGAAAAGCACACACACAATGTCAAGCAGCAAAAACACTCCGAGTGGCTTCTATGGGTTCAGTAAGGAGGTTCTCTATTATCTTGGAATTCCTTATCCGGAAAAGGCATCTGTTATTGATAGAAACGATGAAACTTTACAAGTGTCTTTACATGTCTATGGCAATAAGTGGAGGCTACTCCCTTGCGTAGATGAGGATATCGACAATGGTTCTGATACAACTTCATCCTATCAAGGAAGTACAACACATCCAGAAATCAAAGACCGTTCAGATAGTTCACCCCATCGACAATTTCTTGTATCTTTGGGTGGTGATAAATCAGAAAATGAAAAACAGGGTATATCGCAAGAACAAACAGATAAAATGACTGCCGATTCAGTTGAAGATGATTCAATGGAGGAAAGTAATTTTCCCTCTAAGTAAGAAAAGTCAGAGATTATTTCTTACAAGATCAAAGTTGCAATACTGATCACATAGCATTTCAAAATCGCTTATGGGGAATGCTTGATATCAAATATTTGTTCAGATGTGAAGTCTGACCATTTGTGATTCAATGCATTGCGATCCTGGGCTACTGAGTGGAAACGAAGTGGTAACTTCCCCTAGTGTGCTGGATTATAAAATGTGAGTATCAGGTGTTTTAAAATACATGCCATATAATTGTTTCTTAAGTCAGTGATCACTTCTCTTTGGTGATTGGGTGTAGTACTTGGATGTAGTGAATACGACTGGTGTTTTTTTTTTTTTTTTAGAGGTTGAGATAGTGTAGTTTAGAAGACGGGTATGAAACTAAATAATGCATAAAACTTCTATACGTATAAAGACCCTATAAGTTACCCGGAAGTATGTTCTCTTATCAATGATTGTCAACCCTTTAAAAAACGTACTATACCTAATGGCTCCTCTTGGTAGTGCTCATGCGTTATACCCTCATCGTGTGGCACTGTATGATGACGAAATGCAGAGAAATGCCTAAAGTAGCCTTGTTTCATATGAAATGTACTGTTTTTGTTGTTGTGAGTCAATGTGAAAAAGAACCTGCACTGGGGTTCTATGCATTCGAAATAGACACGTCGTTTATGGTCTTCTTTGGTACTGAAACAGTCTGTTTGTTGAATATATTCTGTGGCTTTGACCGGAGATTCGAAATCGGATGGCAACTCATCGAATGCCTTGATGGATTTATCACATAAAAACTTCATTTTCGATACACTCGTGATTTCTTGGATAACGCCAAGTATCATTTAGTTGGTCAAATTTGAATTGTGTATTGGGACATACAATGCTAATATACCAGTTTAAACAGGACTTGGTTGGGTCTATCTTTGATGATTATTTTTATATTTATTTTATTTGGCTAGACACGAAATTTTTCGGTGAGGAGATTATAATTTGCATTCAGTCCCTAAAATTTCTTATTGTCAATCTGCCTATTTATAATCAGTTATTATCGACAGAAGTACCTGAAGTACAGATGTCTAGAGTCATCTAGAAAGCTGTTAAGATACTCCACGGACAGTGTATATAAGTAAGTTTGTATAACTCCGATATGCGCGTTGTGAACTTGCACAACCAAATGAATCCACAAAGAATTGACCTCAAAAAATCCACACTTTCCTACCTACACTTCTTTATTCTCACTACCAAATCATCCAATAAATGTACTTAATTGAAGATCAACCTGTCGAAGAAGTGGCTATGTCAAGCTACATTACTTTCGATCCCCGTGTGGGAATAGACAGAGAAGGGTGGCAAGTAATCCTGTATTACTGGCGCATGTTGAATATAAAGTGCCATTATGGTTATCCAGTTAAATATGCAATACCTATGAACGGAAAGATCAAATATTATGACTACCATGACTTCAGATCCAGAACCTATACAGCGATAATATGTACAATGATTGAACATTTTCTAGAAGAAAAAGATGAACTTCTCCCTACAAGGGGCTTATATTACAAGACCTACGAAGTATGTCATGATAAAGAGGATAAACTAAACTCATTATTGAACGAATTCACAAGCATTCACCAAAAGAAGCTTCAAGACTTTGGTCTTACTCGTGAGAGCAAAGCCATCATTACTACTAATATCATCCCTGCAGGAATATTCGTCCCAACATCATCTAGTATCAATGACTTCCCCATGAATTTGCATCAACGTGTGACGGTTCTTATTGTCGAGAAATCTACCATATCAATTTCACCAATCATGGTGAAAAATTATAAGGGAGGCAATTTTCTAGTTTTAGAAACCAAAGGTTATTCGTCTAGAATACCAGAAGAATTAATTCAAGAGTTGGAAAAAAGGTTTGACTTAAGAGTTTTATTTGTTGGTGACAAAGACGCTGGTGGTCTTCGAGCTTATAACAAGTGGCATAACCTACTCGCACAAGTCACATATCTCAAGATTAAAGACAAAAGTTACGTAAAACCACCGAATTACGTTTTTCAGGAGTCGCAGAGAAAGGCAGTTGAAAAAATTGCCAATGATGATAATTTTCCTGAGTTCATCAGGGGAATAGCTCGTGAAATCTATGACCATGAAGAGCGAATTCACATCGACAACCATTCTCGTCTTGCGTTTGCTATCACGAACTTGTTAAACAACCGTGAAATCGATTTTGACGATAAGGATTATTTAGAGTTGAAATTGCAATAGTTAAATTGATTTTAATTGGCATTGTACATTTGAATTGAAGAAAACAGAATAGAACATGATTTCTATTTAACCCCTCCATTATCTCCGACGAGGGAAACAAAGTCCAATAAATCACTCTTTGGTAATTATGTATCCATCAAAAATGCCATAGGTTGGAGATTACTTTGTTTTTTTTTTTTTTTTGTGTTATTGAATTTGTACAGAATTCATAGATCTCTTTTCTCTCTACTGAGGGCTCTATGTTGTAACAGTCTATATCTACATTATTGTGTTCTTTAGAAACTATCATTAACCCTTGCCATGTCCCACTGATTGTATCATGTGAGCAGTTTGAAAGCTTAAGCAATAAGTGAAAGTTTGTATAACTAGGATGTTAATGTAGACGTATATTATAACGTGATCTACTAACTAAACTAATCTGCAATTCAGGAGGAATTGCAGGGCTATTTATAATGAAAACAGCTGTAGCAACAATTGGTACTATAACCTGGTTGCAATGGTCGATTCTAAGAATGTAACCCGGTTGCAATGGTAAGTTGTAAGAGTGCAACATGGTTGCTAAACTATCCATTACAAAGTTTAAATACTTTTGCTAAGGAGATCGGTTATATTGTAAGTGACTGGGTGCAATTCTACTGAGAAAACACATTAATCTATACAATATGAAATCAAGTAAATCAAACCTCTAATCATTCCTTTTTCTTTCGTTTCATGGCTTTCTTAGGCTTCTGTCGCTGATTGTTCTTTTGCTTAGGCTTCTTTTGCTTAGGCAGCTTTTTTCCCTTTATTTCCTTTTTAAACTCTGCAACAATCTCATCCGACATCTCAGCATTGACAGCCACACCAAGATCATAATAAGGTTTTCCACTAGAAAAATCACCCTGACACATAAGAATTATGTACTTCTTGTTACGTCCTTCGTATGTTTTCACAAAATTCTCAAATTTCTTATAATTCCGGTCAGGGCATATCAAAATTATTGTCTTGCATAATGATAAATTTTGAAGAAGACTGGTGACAACGGGTTTCCCGGATTTCTGAATCCTTGTCAAATTCTGTCTCAATTCCTTGTCTATATGTAAAACTCTTTTCCCAAGGTGTTTTGCAACAGTTTCAGCAGCTTTTTTTGTTAGACATGCGACGCCCCAATCTGAACCAGTAAAATTTAGACTAATGTATCTAATTTTTTTATCTAATGAAGTACTGTTAATAAATTTTAGTTCAAGATTACACCATGTTTTGTTTACTGGATAAATTATGGCCTCAGATTGAGCTCCTATTTGTTGGATGCTAAACTCATCTAGGCCAAACGGACTGGCCATAAGTGTGGGTCCTTGTTTGGTTATGGTGGGGATTTTTGCTAAATCTGATGGTGAAAAAACTGTCCATATTATGTAGTCGACCTTTACTTTGTCATCGAGTTCCGATGGATCTTGAATGTTGATGTGAGGTTCAGTTTCACTGGTGTGGAATTTGTTGTTAATAGTAAGTTTTGTTCCAGCAAAGTATACCAATTGTTGTAATGTCTCTTGTACATTCCGAGTGACGATAAGGACTCTCTGAAATATGTTTTCAAAAAGAAAGTTGACGATACTCAAGAATACATCATCAATACTCACGCCATTTCCAATTAAAAGGCAATGCCTTTTTTTGGGAACAACAGCCAATAAATATCGAATTCCATCTTTTGGCTCGTATTTGACCTTGTTGCACAAGGTCACCAAATTTGTATTCAAGATATTATTAATTTCGGTATTTGCTGCTGCAACTGTCTTTTCAACACCATACGGGTATATATGCTTTATTTTTTGCACGACATCCTCTGGATCTTGTTCCATATCAATATCGATCCAATTCTTAGTATCGTTGAATTTGGGTATCCTTTTCTGAAAAATTGAATCACCAATTCGATCCCTGGACGAACGACCTAATTCATGGCCTTGTTTTTGATTGGTAACAATATTCTCGGTATGTGATGAAACTGTAGAGTTTGTTGAGTGGTAATGAGATCTAGGTTGAGTTGGCCAGTTTCGTGGCAAATTGGAATGCGCTGATTGAAATGAGCTCTGTGGGACTGGGACATACGTATCCAGCTCTTCTCTTCTTCTTTTGTTCTTGTTGTTGTTGTTGTGGTTGTGGCTGTCGTTACCACTTGATCCCCCTTCTTGGTTGTAGTTCTTGTTGTACCTTCTTCCTCTTCCGGGCGAGTTGTTATTGTGTCTAAAACTCATTATAATAGGGTTCTTTTTGTGTCCTTCAAAATTGAAGGATAACGTTGAGATAACACAAACAAAATTGATAATAGATGGTAAGTTCTTTATTTTGTAAGTTATTGCAAAGCTTGATGTTGAAATTAAGAAAAAGATACGGCAAGTAATTGAGAACAATTGTTCCTATATATATTCAAAGTTCAAACAATCAAGCTACATATTTGAAGTATAGAGAAATACTAATAAATAATCCCTTTGAAATAAGAAAGTTGCTATCTTTGTTTTTCTATTTTTTTTTTTTTTTACTGACTGCTTATTCCATGATTATCATTACATTCGGTCTTAATTTATATTCCGGTGCACGTGTTTCAACTACTTATCCTTATCTACAATTTCAAAAGATTTTTATACATTTCAGTTCTTTGGGGCTATTTTTTAAATACGTTTGTATATAGCAATTTACCTATTTGAATTTCATTTCAACCGGTTTAACATCTTCTTGGTATTTGCTAATCCTTCAAGTCATCGTAGGTATCTTTCATTATATGACTTGAACTTATCAGAATTAAGCTTCGCTATTCTAGACGAAACAAGAGGAAAGCTCGTGTCACAGTTTCCAATATTACACAAACTTATTGTTTACTTTCTATTTAAATTGTACTATTTCACTTTTTTTCACTCAACTAGCACTTAAATTGGCACATCGGGGGAATATAGCAAATTTTTGTAGTGCCCGACCTCGTCAATAAACTCTGGGATATAAAATCCAATCTCCGATACGCGTTAACCACAAACTTTTATTACATCTCAATGTCACGTAATAGACAGCCACTTATGTTGGGTATCTTAACAGCTTGCTGGATGCCTCTAGACATCTGTACTTCAGGTACTTCTGTCGATAATAACTAATTATAAATAGGCAGATTGTATATTATACATTATATAATAAGAAATGTCTCCCGGGAATTGAGTATAAATATCATTTCCTCACCAAAAAGTTGCAATCATTTCTCTAGATAATAAGCCAGTGCATCTGGATCAATCTTGTATTTTGTATGGAATTTGTCACATGCATCAATGTCATCTTTGAAGTTGCTGATGGAGTTCGCGATAAGTTCTTTGTACGTGAATTCCAAAAAAGAAGGTCCTTGTATTGGAGTAGGTAATTCATGCTGAGCCCGTGCAATAAGTTTCCGTACATGAGGTCCATACAAACTTGTACTGAGTCCTTTTCTTTCCACCTTCTGGAATCGGCTACGCGGCAAATACTGACTAATCCCAGTATCGCGGAATCTGATGCCCAAATCTTCTTCTTTCTTCTCTGATACTTCAGTGAACGACTTCCGAGACTTTTTAACCTGGTACTGCAGTTCCCTCATATCCTCTTGAAGGTGCTCCAACTCATTCCAAATTATGTCATTTGCCATGATTGGAGCTTCGGCTTTATAATACAATAATATGAGCGAATACCCTTCATTAATTGGTCTCATTAATGTGAATTTGGTCAAAGTGGCAACTGTCGTACAAAGGTGGATAGTAATGGGTATATTTCGAACTTTTTGTACTGATTCCCCCTTTGTGATGTTTTGAAGATGTTCCGGTGTTTTAATCTCTAGCACAATTTCATTGTCCTTGATGATTTCGTTCACTTCGAAATTGCTTTTAACCCAAGGATTCCTAAAAACAAGTGCAAGTTTATCAAGAATTACGTACTCATCAAGCTTGTGTTCGTTGTAATACAAACTAATAATAATCTTGAATTGTTCTTCAGGGGCAAATATACGACCATCTTCTTCTCGGAAGGACGGATAAATCCATAAAGAATTTATTTTCGATACACCATCGTCCAACTGCATCTCATAGTTCATATATTCAAATCCCTCTTTCATGTAAATAGGACATACTTTCCCGGTCATGTTGACAGGAGACGTATTCGTTGGTGTCTCGATGTCTCGGCTTATAGAAATGAATGTAGTTTGTTTTGAAATGAGACTTTTGTCACATAGTGAGAAGTTCCGCAATAGTCGTGTGTCAAACCCAGACATCTAGCTTAGATACCAATTCTGTATTAGAGGTCACCAAGTGAACTGTGATGACTAATATGCCGGACATAGTCAGGTGGCAGAATGTCTTCCGCCTGGCCGCTGGCTGACAGTCTATGTAGCTCATTAATTATCATAAAAAAAAAGGTTCCGGGCCCACCAAAGAGTACAAATTATTAGTCAGGGCCGCCATTGAATATCTGTAATTTCTAGTCCTATAGAACGAAGAGAACTTTAATGATTAGACTCGCTTACAATGGTAAACCATATAATTACGGATATCACACCTGATTGTCAAGACGCACAGAGTAGCTTGACAGCTAAAGCTTTCAACATTTTACGATAACGGATCTCAGGGATCAAATTGCAGCATTGTGTCATATTTGGCTGAGATTTGACACAGCAAACAAAATGAAGACAAAAAAAAAGCTCCTTATCACCTAAGCATTCCATCTACCACGTCCAGCGAAAACATCAAATGTCATTTGAGCAAATCATCAAAGAGGAAATTGACTTGGTTTATTCCAATATTGACCATCCATATGAGTTAGATGATACCGCATGGAAACCATACGTTTTAATAATCGCAAAGAAATATGCAAGAATTTTTAGATTCTTGCATACAATGACCAACAAACATTTGACAGAGAAACATCTTCAGAAAATGTTTAAAACTGATCTTCCAGTGGATAGAGACAAAGCTGTTGAGACATTCCTGACATATTTATTAAATCACTTCAACAATGTTAGCAACCTTCGAATTGTTGACGTAATGGCTCAGGGGGGTGAAAAGATAACTCTACTCCAATTTTATCAGAGGATATTATCAATTGAACCAGCATATACAAAAAGGCGAATCGAAGAAAGTTTGGAAGAGGTCTCCAAAGGAATACCCAACAGGCATGCCATACAGGATGCAATGTTTGATGCAGTACATGGAAGAATGAGAAAAGATGGTACTGCTATCTTTGTGGATCATCTACCAGTATACGTTTTGAGGTTACACAAATACCTAAAATTTGAACATTTCGAAAGAGTCGAAAAACTTCTCGACTTGTTATACAAAGAGTATATATTATTCATTACTATTGACAATTACCATTTTCCTGGTATTAACCGATTATGCAGAGAAATCGGGATTCGTCCAAACTACTTAGAAGAGCACAGGGGGTTTAACAATGAAGATGTGAGCTTCGTGTCAGAATTTGTTGAAATCACGGCGTGGAACTATAAACACCCTGGTTCAAAAGAATAAGATCATACATATGTTAATCGTTTATATATGTTGAAGTATGGTAATTCAAGGAATCTTTTCAATAAAATTTCTTGTAAATTACACACGATTGTCGTACAGTAACATCACTTCTCGCGAGTTAATTTGTAGACTGCACGCTTCCTATTAGTCTAGGGAGGAAGAACGCTAATAAATAATAAGTAACTTATTGACCGATATTATTGTGAGTGTAAGATGTCTACTTAAAGAACCGTAGCTTACTATTACAACGAGTAAATGATTGTTAGAGCTGTTACAACATCCTAAGTTAGAGTCTGTCAGTGCGGTCTCCAACCAACACTGAATTCCAACTTATTGTCGTAAACTAAGTGATACAATATAAAGTAGTATATATTCGATATTTCTCTAAAAACTGATAATATAAAAGAAGAGGGAAATTGACCCATATTTATACTCTCTGAAACTCATTCCAAGTGTAAGTTAAACTTTATGAGTCAATTCCTCAAAAGGTAGTGCAAGGCACAAATATCACTTTGAATTAAATATGCTTAATTCATTGTAGTTTAGTGTCACTGTACTACACATCGGGAGAAAGAAAAAAACAAAAAAAAACGTGGGGGTGGGAAGAAGTGGGAAGTGGTTGCGTCTAGATGTGCTCAAGAGGGGGGGGGAAAGGATTGCTTGTGGAAAGACACTAGTGGGTAGTTGCGGGTGTAAGATTCTCAATGAGACGCGTTGTGATGTGATATTGGATTGGTCTTGTAGGTTTTCAACAAATCATAGCCAAGATTTTTCAAATCACAATCTGACAGCAATGATTGATGGAAGGTCAAGTTTATTTTTTCCTTTTTTTTTTTTTTTTTTTTTTTTTTTTTTTTTTTTTTTTTTTTTTTTTTTTTTTATTTTTATTTTTTTGCTAACTGTCATTTGGGTCCATACTGCTTCATATGGATGTTGCAAAAAGCAAAAAACAGTTCCATATGATATGTTGTAGACTCGCTTGAAAAAAGCTCCATCCAATCTTTGGAATTCACCGTTGATCTTCCTTTTATGAAGTATAGAAGGGAGGATTATACAGAATTGTCAAATCTCATTGTATAACTATGTAATGGTTCATTCTAATGCTAGGTACTGACTTCTCTTTTCAAATAGTTCGATGTTGCAGACGTAACAATATTGAGCTTGTTGAGAGTTACAAAGAAGCAGGTTTGCGATGAGGTTCTTACTCATGGCAGAATATCTCAACTTCTAATTGATTTCGAGCTATTTCAGATAAATGTAGCTCGTGTCTACTTGAAGTTTTTTTCCCTCCCCCCCTCTCCTCAAGCCACCACTCCTTGAACCAAAAGTGTGGCATTTAAACTCCTTTTTCCCCAACATGAGGTATTTTTTTATTTCGGTTATTCGTGGCTCGGGTTTGCCGTAAAAGATGTCAATCAAGAATCGCACCGAGTCAGAAAAGGAAAACAGAGCAGCGGAGTTGTTTCTTTTGTCACACACCGAGTCGCAAGAAGTCTTTCTCTCTTTGCATTTTTTTCCTTGACTCCGATATTAAAACGAGCAAGTGCCGTGTGAAAAAGGAGAGCAAGATGCCTTATCTCCATTTGTATATACCTCCCACTGACCTAATTAGAGAAACCTTTTCTCTCTTGGCTATGCTGTATATTATATTTATATATATTTATATATAAGAAATCCTCACCTATTCTTGTTGTCTTGTCTTTTCCCCTAATCAAAGACTTCAACATGTCTACAGCTAATTTGCAGCCAAATACTCAATTCAACACAAGCAAAGACGTCCCATACTTGAAAACCAGCTTGATTGAAGTTACCAATCGTTTACCCAGTAAGCCTCCATGCCGTATTTTCTTCAAAAATGAAACAGAGCAACCTTCAGGAAGTTTCAAATTGCGAGGAATCGGGTACTTGGTCAAACAATCAATTGATAAGGCAAAAGGCGAAGGTGTGTCGCTCAATGATATCCATGTTTTTGCCTCAAGTGGTGGCAATGCAGGTTTAGCTGCTGCTTACCTGGCCCAATTCTACAACGTCAAATGTACAGTTGTTATCCCCACCATTGCAAAGCCAATTATACAACAAAAGTTGAAGGAATATGGAGCCCGAGTGATTTTGTTTGGTAACTCAATCTATGAAGCAGACAACTACTTGAAATCTCTTATTGAGTCGGCTCCTGATGGGATCCACCATATTTATTGTCATCCATTCAACAACCCGGAAATATGGACTGGCCATTCGACCTTGGTGGATGAAGTGAATCAGCAACTTGGATCAAATAGAAAGAAGCTTGCAGGCATGGTGTGCTCATTTGGCGGAGGTGGATTATACAATGGCATTTATCAAGGTATGGTTAATAACAACTTACAAGGAGATATCCTATTGATTGAGACAGCTCAAGCACCAACACTCAGTGAGACAATCAAAGCAAAAAGTCTCATCACATTGAAGGATGTAAACTCGTTGGCCACTTCACTTGCTTGTTCATACACCACTCAGCAATCCTTAGACTACTATCACGACAAGAAGTCAGGAATAGACTCGTATTTGGATGTCATCGATGACCTCGATGCTCTCCGAGCTTGTGTCGCTTACAAGCAATGCTGTGGTGCAACTGTCGAGCCAGCGTGTGGAGCTGCGTTATCCGTTTGTTACAATAGATTGGACTTGTTGTACAAAAGTCTTTCGCATTTGAAGGAGGATGATATTTTGGTGATTGTTGTTTGTGGGGGTTCGTGCACTACTGATCCTGATTTGAAGCAGTACGAGATGGTTATCAAGAAGGCAGAGACTAGGCTTTAACCAGGTCACACTCTGTATAGGTTATTTAGATGTATAGTATACGCTTATGGTTAGCTTTAGTTCGTCATATGTAGGTTCGAGACACGACGTAGCTTTCGGTCGAAGAGTGTGCAGGTTCGCACGAGAGCTCACACGAAAGAAAACAAATTATCTGGGTCGTGGACACTTACTATAAGTATGTCTAAAAGATATCAACTTTGTGAAATATGGAGAGTTGACCGAGTTGGTTAAGGTGACAGACTTAAGTCGAGGGATTCGATTCCTTTCAAAAGAGTAATCTGTTGGTATGTTTACCGCGCGAGTTCGAATCTCGTACTCTTCATAATTATCTTTTTTTTTCTTATTTTATCTTGTATTTTTGATTCTATATACGATGTCTGCTCAATTTGAAGCCTATACCCCCAAATTCCCTTCTTGTTTGTTTTAGGATGATTGGTTTTTTTTTGAACCATGTTTGCCAATCAAGCTTCAAACTCAGGTGGAGGTTGCCTCTATTCACCCCTAGTCAAACTGATTCTTTTCAATCTGGGAAGGTATTTCTTTTGTCTAGTTGTACACCATCACCCATTGCTTATCCCACTAAATACATCCCGAGCTCCCCACGAGCTCTACTAATCGATATGCGGAATAGCTTGTACCAGAAACTGGCACTGGTACTTTTACTACCTTTTCGTGAACTCGTTTTTGTTCGCGCAGAGGTTCTAAGCTGCGAAATCGTAACTAAAAACCTAAATCGAGAGAGAAAAAAAACTCATTCTCGAGGAAAATTGGCTGCAAATTTAAGTCTGTAGAAGGCATGTAAAACAAGTTGTATTACGTATAATGCTGCCAAATTCTACATTTAGATTCAGTGAATGCGGTTTTCTGATTGGTGACGGCGTAATTCAAAATTAATTTTAATCAGATGATACACGTGACTTGCTGGTTTTGTATCGGAAAAAAAAATAGAGGCAAAAAAAAAAAAAAAGTCGACGAAAGGTAGTTCTGTCAGTTCTTCATCACCGTTGAAAGATACAGCAGACAACACCAAAGTTTCACCACTTTTAGTTGCTATCCATTGGCACTATCAACTTCTGGTAACTCTTTTTTCATCCAAATCGCTTTATCGTTCACTAGTTTGAAAAAATCGAGATTCAGTGTGGTTCGCAGTGAGAAAAAAAAAAAAAAAGAAAACAGTCTCTCATCGACCCAGTTATCGATCCCAGTGATATACATTATATATCGTGCAATTGAAATCAGGTAATCACCTTTAAGTTTTACAAAAAAAAAATACCTCACTCCCCACTAACAATATGATGAGGAGTGATATTAGAAGATGCCGTCGGTGCAAAAGAAAGAGATTGGATGATGAGCCCATGGAGGTGAGGCAATTTAAAACGTGTGCCAAGTGCAGGATTATAGAGAGAAACAAAAAGAACCTGCGCAAACCACTAGCTAAGGAAACTATGCTCTATGGGTTGAAACAGTTTAGGGAACAACAATCCACTGAGAACTACATTGAAGAGGAGGGATTACTAAAGGATGAATTTTTCAAACGATATCATAATAAACCGTTCAATTATGACGCCGAGATCACCAAACTTATGAGTGACCCCAACTACGAGCCGCCAGTTATTACAAACCCCACTGATGAAATAATTGAGTCGTCGGATGTTACATCGCCGGGGGGAACAAGGTATCAGGTGACTATACGACGTGATGATGGAGGTTCACCTACTAGAGCCAGAGTGCCCCGAGCTGAAAAGATTAGAAAGCCAAAACAAACTTACAAGAAGAATAATGCTGTACCATATAATCTGGTGCGTCAGCAAGTCAACTCATACATCATGCGGCACCCCGCTGCTGCTGCTACTGCTACTACTACTACTACTACTACTACTACCCAGCCCATTGTGAGCAAGATTGATGAAAAAGCGCAACTTGTTGCAGAGTTGCTCGCCTTGGGAAATGGACTTCAAGCAGAGCCTGTTTCAGATCATGCAAACCCGTACCGATTTGCCAACGTATACTCCAACTTTGAGCAATACTTGCAAAAAGTTCTTGAATTGAAATCGTCAAAGAAGAACATAACCAACTTGGTATTGCTAAAAGAGTTTCCCGACACTTTTGCACAGGAAATGTCAAAGTACCACGCTGATGCTTCAATCGGCGATCGTAATTCTGAGTATCTTGCACTTAGTGAGAGACAATCGCGAATGAATTTATTGAGCAACTTGAAGGCCTTGTATGTTGACCCAATCATTGCCTCAACTTCGTTGCCGTTTGAGCAAAAATCAAACAACCTACACGATTATAGCTACCTGAGTGAATTGAGGTGCTATTACCAGTACAAGGATGTTCCCGGAGCGACAGCTGATACAACTGGCCTTGTGAATTCTTCCATTAGTCTTGCTTACTATAAAAAGTACAATATTTTGACAATAAAGTTCAATTTGTCAACCATTGACAAGACTAGTCAATATCCAGATGCGCTAAGGGTTGCAGTTATGGAGTCAGTGCAGAAGGTGAATGCAAGTATTGGCGATGCTAGCGTTTCGCTAAATATACCAGAGTTGGTGTTTAAGGAGTTGAAGAGTAGACGTGACGCATTGGACAGTGAAGTAAGGGCATATATTGATGACTTGAGTTTGGAAAAGTTTAGTGACGTTTTTGCTGAAATTAGTGGAGAAGTAGCTTCCGCTGAAGTTGGGGAATTGGAGGAAGATCTTGTGGAAAGCGATGATGAGGTTGAAGCAGGTATCGGCGAAATTTTAGAGGGTGATAATGATGATGATGAGGAGGAGGTGGACGAGGAAGTAGAAGAGGGAGTAGAAGAGGAAGAGGGAGTAGAAGAGGAAGAAGAAGGAGTAGAAGAGGAAGAAGCAGAAGAAGAGGGAGTAGAAGAGGAAGATGATGACAGTGATGATGACGAAATCACCGTCAATGAGGTTCATGAACAGGGTGTACTGGAATCAGGGAACGAAGTTGGGGGAGAAGAACTGACGTTTCTCAAAACGGTGAGCGAAGCTGTGACCAACTCTGGTTCGGAAGTTGCTGTTGAGAGTTTGGATCCCATTTTAAAGCTGTAGGTGTGTAGTATGTTTTGTAATTTCGATATAGACCCAAGCCATATGTGTTTCTTATAAAGTGTAGGAATCAAAAACTGGCCCTCTCCATGGTGGACAAGACGCGCTAAAAGAAGAGAAAAAAAAAAGTTGCACATCATTTTCTCCTTTCGAGTTTGAGAAAAAAAAAAAAAATATCAAGAGAAAAAGGGGGAGGGGTGCCTGTTTGATTTTATTATCTTAATCAACTGAGATTACTTTTAACTTGAATTACTATTTCATTTTCTTTTATTACTTGGCAGGCTATAGACGATTCATCTCTACATCCATGATGAATCTTTGCTTGACACTCGCTGTACTATTGACAAATATAGTCACTTTCTCGCAAGGAATACAACTTGATACAAACAATGTCACTTCGATACGAGAGGATTGCAATTTGATTGCCCAGGGTTTACTTGATTACTATGATGGAACGAAATACGGAGGAACTATTGGTGAGTTTTCATGGCCTTACTACTGGTGGGAAGCCGGTGGTGCATGGGGTGGATTGATTGACTACACCTTCTACTTCAATAATGATACTTTAGTACCCTTGATCAAACAAGCGTTGGAGTACCAGGTTGGTGACGATTACAACTACATTCCATTGAACCAAAGTACTACTGAAGGTAACGATGACCAGGGATTCTGGGGCATTGCGGTTATGGGTGCCGCTGAGAGAAACTTTAGCAATCCCAGCAACAGCAAATTAAGTTGGTTGGGATTGGCGCAAGCTGTGTTCAACACAATGACTGCAAGGTGGGATTATGCTGACTGTAATGGTGGGTTGAGATGGCAAATTTTCCAGTGGAACTCGGGCTATGATTATAAAAACTCTGTTTCGAATGGGTGTTTGTTCCACTTGGCTGCAAGGTTGGCAAGGTATACCCAAAACGATTCGTATGTGGAGTGGGCACAACGGGTTTGGGACTGGATGTATGGTGTTGGATTGTTGACTGAAGGTGATCATTGGTTTGTGTATGATGGTGTCAAGATTGCCAACAATTGTTCAAACATAACCAAGTATCAATGGACATATAACCAAGGTCTTATGCTCGCTGGATGCGCATATCTTTACAACTACACTGAAGATGAAAAGTGGCACAACTACACCAAGCAGTTGTTGAATAGTGCACAGGTGTTTTTCAAAAACATGAGTGGAAGTAGTGTCATGTACGAGGCTGCTTGTCAACCATCAAACACGTGTAACAATGATCAAAGGTCGTTCAAGGCGTACTTTTCCCGATTTTTAGCACTTACAGCACAGTTGGTACCCGAAACAAAAGGGCCCATATACAAAATGTTGGTGGATTCAGCAAATGCTGCTGCAGGTGCATGTTCTGGAGGTTATGACGGACATACTTGTGGTCTTTCGTGGACTAATTGGACTGTTGGATACGATGGTAATTATGGGTTAGGGGAACAAATGTCAGCTTTGGAAGTGATTCAAAGTGTGATGATTTATCATGATGCGCCTGCCCCTTACACTGCAGAGACTGGTGGCTCTTCGAGGTCGATGCCGGCAAGTGGGTACGGAACAACCGCAGCCAATGCCCAACCATTGAAATTGGACTCTGGTGACAAAGCCGGTGCAGGAATCATCACTGCCGTCATTGGAGTCTCTTTGATTGGATGTTGTGTATGGTTGTTGTTATAGAGTAGAGATAAGAAACTAAAAATAAAGAGAACAGGTTTGGATTTTTTGTATCAACAGGTGTAGAGAGAGATTGATGGTGATGGTGGATATATTCGAGTGGAGTCAACTGCAGTAGAGTAGAGTGCAGTAGCCAGGAAAGGTATGTTAAGTATTGGTAACCCCCAGTAAAGAGCAGCGTAGATAAAAAAAAAAAAATTAGAGGGCGGGAAAACAAAAACATTGCTAATCGGGGAGTTTAACTAAAAATAACCCCACGCAAAACACCTTATACACATACACACACAAACACACACACACAATGAGTTCAGAAGATCAGTTTACTTCAGTTCAGTGGGATAGAGAGGATTTAGGGAAAGAGCAGGCCCAAATGGCGCCAAAGATCGACTCCATCACAGAAGAATCTGGTTCCAGACGCAACTCCGAGGGCAAGGAGAGTGACGTAGTCGAAACAAGCGAAGCACATGACGACACAGCTGGTGGTGGAAATGTAGCATCTTATTCCAAGGAAGATAGTGCTCATGAGTCTAATGGAGATGATCCTGGTGCATCGTTACTTATTTCTGGAGATGTCCAGGGTCACACCAGTCAAGAGCCCAGCGAAAGAGGGGACGAAATTGAGCCAAGTGGCAAAGACGTTGGAAGAGAAGCAGGTGCTGCCCTGGATGTGGCAGATGAGGAAACTACCACTTCGAGGGCTCCGGTGGATACTACACTCTTTGACAAGTACAAGATAGAAGTCTCAGCCACTCATCCTAGCAGGGATTTGGATGCATCATCAAAACCATTCATTTCCTACTTGGTGACAACTACAACGGATAACCCCAATGTGCTCAAGCTTATCAAAGATAAGAAAGTAGATGGTGACGATGAGAAATACCGTACATTTAGCGTTCGCCGAAGATATGGAGACTTTCGGTACTTGTACGAGAGTTTAACCAATGATTTCCCCACGGTTATGATTCCTCCCTTGCCGTCAAAGCTGAATATAAAGTACTTGACGGGTGATACTTTTAGTCATGAATTTGTGCACAAGCGATTGCACTCATTGGACAGATTTTTGAGATTTATTGTCCAGCATCGCGTGTTGTCGCAACTGTCCATTTTCCATTTGTTCATTAGTGATTCTAATGACTGGAATACATTTACAACGTCTTTAAAACTTAAGGAGTTGAACATTAATGGCGAGCAAGGCGGGTTGGTGAATAAAGTTGTTAATGAGGAGTTGATTACTGAGAAATTGATGAATTTCCTCACATCTTCCAAACACAAGAAGGAGACAAACCGGGATATTTTGGAGATTAATGACAAGTTGAAGAAGTTGTATGAGAATTTGCTCAAGTTGGATCGTATTTTCACAAAGTTGAATCGAAAGAATCGTGATTTGAAAAGTGATTATGAACAACTCCTGAAGCAGATTTTAAAAATTTCCAATTTACAAACTGATCAGAAGGAAGATACTGCAATCACGTCTAATTTCAAGATATTTGCAGAAGCACTTGATTTTTTCCTGGATTCATGGGGACTGTTGTATACCTACATGGATGAATCGTTTTTAGTTCTGTTAAAGGATTGTTCAAAGTACATTATTGGTCTTACGAATTTGATTGAGTTGCTACATAACAAAAAGATTGATTTGCAGGTGTTGCAAGACTACTTGAACAAGAGCAGACATGAGTTGGACAATGCACAGGGGCATGGTCATCATCACCACAACCACAACCACAACCACAACCACCCACAAAGCAATCAAACTAGTAGTGGTGGCCATGGCGGTATTGTGAGTAGTACAACCCAATTGATCAAAGATACAATATCAACGTCGGCAACCTCAAATATAGGATCAAGTGCCACCGATTCCAAAATCCACAAATTGCAGACCAAAGTGCACGAATTGGAGAATGAAATTGAACTGCAAATTAAATTGATTAATGAATTCACTGATCGGATCATCAATGAGGAATATCCGAACTGGGAACGGTTTAATAAATTGGAGTTGAAAAACTCCATGCTTGGGTTGTGTGATAAACAGATTGATTTTTACAAGGGATTGGTTGATAATTGGAGTGATGTAGAAGCGAAACTTTCGAAACGGTTAGATGAGTTGAATTGAGATTACTTTCTATAGTGGGTAGTTTAAAGGCGTTTTTTTTGTTTCCATTTTTTATATTCACTTGGAGTATTTTTGTATTTACAGAGGAATGATATCCAACTCAAAATATTCTCTATATAAACTAATCCTTCTTTTTCAATCGATCATCTTCCCCCGCATGTTCGTCGTCATCATCATCTTCTTCATCTTCACCTAGATCAAATAGTGTGGCACCATCATCGTGGCTGCTCCTATGGTTAGTTTCTTCGTACCCTGGTGGTGGATGCGCTGAATCTGGTGTAGATAATGATTGCGTAGTGGATTTCTTACCCAGGGAGGAGGATTTTGGCAGCAGTTGGTGTCCTTCATCAATTTCAAAACTATCTCTATCGACATTTCTCCTTGAATTATTACGTCCACTATTCAAGTTTTCATCATCATCATCATCATCGTCGTCGTCGTCGTCGTGACTCATCAACGACAAATCGTCCAATTCAAACTCTGTTCCTCCAGGACCTTGATAATTGGGGTTTTCCGGATCATAATTTGGGTCATCTTCGTCTCCACCGCCAGTCGACAATTGTTGTGATACTGCCAACATATAGCTGGTTTCAGTTGGACGCCATAACCAAGCGATAATCATAAACACCATAAAGAAGACGACACTTGGCCAGAAATCGAAAATGAAAAAAGCACTTTTCCAATGCTCTTCAAACATTTGGGTTGTTGACATTGACAAGTAAATGAATGAACTTAAAGTGAGACCAAGGAATGTCAAAATGATTGCTGAAAATACAATCTTGAACAAGTTTTGGTACAATTGTAGTTTAATGATTTGACGTTGTTGATGTAGTGACTGGGTTGTCTTGCGGAGTGATGTCAATATCGTCACATAATAGATTGACAAGACAATTGAAATGGGGATCAATGGTAACAATCCCAACAAGTCACTTGCATCTCCGTCATCGATACTGTCGCTGTTTACTAAAGCCGTTGATGAGCCACTAATGTAGTTGAAGATCAAATACGTCAACGACGAGGCAAAGTTGAATCCAGCAAGTATTTTACAATAAAGCATTGTTCTCTTGTTCAATTTCAATTTGACGACTCCATATCCCAATGCAATACAGAGCAAAAGAAAGAATGAAAATGTAATCTTGACGGCATTCAAAACCGCCATGAAAATCATATAAAATATTCCAAACCCATTTTCCCGGTTCGACACTCGATTGACATAATCGTAATATGACCAAATCACCAACGTGTCAAATGTCAAAAAGCCCAACATTGCCAACAAGTATCGTTGCAAGGGCAAGATTTGATTTTCTTTTCTCTTTTTGAAAAATTGGAAACCAAATAATGCCAACGCGATAGCATAACACAAGGTCAAGATCCCGTATGCTGGCAACTTTGGTATTTCACTAGCGTTCAATTGTCCAAATGCATTTTGGAAATTGATGGTTCCTCTATACTTGACGTCGTCACTCGTGGGGGAAAATGTTGAAATGCAGTAATAACCAGTTTGGTTGATTGGGTAATCGATATTGGCATTGCCCAATTGGTGCAATTGTGACGACAAGATGGTTGAGTTTGTAGAATTCGCATTGACGATAAACTGGCCAATTTGATCCTGCGAACATACTTTCAAGTCATTAACGGCATATTCATCACAAATGAATTTATATCGTCCTTCACCGAGATAAGCCCCAATATTGATGAGATCCTTATACTCGAAAATGATGTAGCTTACTTTGATATCGTCGTAGGTGGCATCTTTATGCTTGGAGTCGTATTTGTGGTCCTGATATTGCGATAACGATAATCCAATGTGTGGTTTTATCGACCCACCCCAATCCTTTTTTGAGTAGACTCCTGCACATACTTGAGAGTGTTGGTTGTTGTCAAACTTGGCAAGATTGGCTAGTGTGAGAGTGCAGTATAGGAGTAGTGATATGAATATCATTTGAAATACTGCTTGTGGAAGGGGAAACGGTGGAGTTGTTACTATGGAAAAGGGATCGGTCAATATGGGTTTGACATTTTTCTCTCCTTTTTGTTTTTTTTGTTGTTCTGGTTCTGGTTTTGTTTTGTTTCCTTTTGTTTGTTGGAGGAGAAGGAATAGCGCTTGTTTTAACGCCGAGAAATTTGGTGCAATATGGTAGCGTAGAAGTAGAATGGGATCAGAGCAGCTAGATGGGTGGTGATGCTCTTTGGTACAGAGACTGACAGAGTCTACAGTTATCCCAGTATGGACAAGGAGTGTGTATATATATGTATCCGTAAAGAGAACTGGCGTTTTATATACCTGCCCAAACAGTTCCTCCACTTTCGTACACAAGATTACCCAATTGTTCAACTTTATGGTCCCAATCAACCAAATGAGTATACAAGTTGTGCACCTGCTTCAAATTCAATATTCTGGGCTGTAACCACGTAATGACCAAAATCTCATCGATCTGGTTAATGTAACCCTGAATCAACTTCAATGAGAAGCACTTTATGATCAAATGCTCAACATCATTCAATGGCGTACCGGTAAACTCGCTAATTTCTTTGAAACTGATACGTTTGTTGGTTGTTGACTTTGTTGAAATCAATTCTAGCAATGCCATTATGATAATCTTTTGCTTGATAAACACTTGGTGCAGTTGTAATTGCGGTGATTTAGTGAATGCAACCGATAACCAACGGTTGAAACTTGATAAATCCCCAGCATTCAAGGCTTGTATGAGGTTGTATAGCCAATTATATGGTGATTCTTGACTGGCTATCTCTTGCAAGATATCATGCAAGATCAACTCACCGAAATTGTACACTTTGTCACCCAACAATGCAGCAATGCATAAATCGTAGCATAATTGAACTTTTTCGGCAGATGTCAATGAGGGGACTGATGAAAGAAACAATAATCCATTGGCGTAATATGCATTATAGTTTTCGTGTAATTTGTACTCCAATGACTTGGTTTGGTAATAAGCGGCATTAATCTTTGCACTCAAGTCATTATTCAAGTTTTCAAACTTTGGTTCAATCTTGCTCATTGTCACTTCGCATTGTTCGAAATTCTTCAATAACAAGTAAAAACGACTGATTTGCAAATCAATATAGATTAAAGATTCATCATTGGTCAAGAGTTTGGTGAATTCCGGATCCTGTGACCCATCTTCATTATCTTTGAAGTTGTGTTCGCGTTTGAGGTACTTGATGTACTCCAGTCTCAAGCTGTTCAATTTGTCCAAGGTGGTTTCATCACTAAACTGGGACCCAATTAAGAAATCAACAACTTTGATCAAGTTCAACTTCATGGCAAACTGCTGGATGAATTGAGTGTATACCTTATGTTTCAAGTCCTGTGGGATTTGGTCTTGGTCAAAGTTGCCGTAAAACTCGTCCAATTGTTGCGTTAATTGATGCCATAATTTCCGTTCGTAGTAGTCTTCCAATTGATAGAATAATGATACTAGTTCAGAGTTGGAATCTAGTTCCAGTCTGATTGTGGCTAGAACGGTGGAGACATCTGATGAGTCTATATCCATTGCTGACATGGCTGTGAAATAGAAAGTGTTTGAGGGTGTCACTGAGTTGTTTGGATCAAGTACTTAGTTAAGTAAAGAATTGAAGTAAATTTTCTGTTGTTAGACCAACCAGTGGCAAAAATTCAATATTTTTTGTGCGATTGTACACTACTTTTTTGGGGAAGAACAGAGTTATACCAAAGAATATACCAAACAATGCATCTGTGGCAGTAGTGTAGTACTTGTACCGTTTATCAGATTTCAAACTAAATGCGAAAAGACCTATATAATATACTCGTCATCCTCGTTACTATCCTTAAGCTTATCATTGTTATCTCCTTCAGTCTCTGCAGTGTCATTCTCACCCAAAATGCCACCTAATAGATTCTCATTATTGACAACATTACCATGGTCGTCCTCATCAAGTGAAGTTTTGAAATTTTGCCAAGTGGTTAAGTTCTCTTCAAAAAGGGCTTTCCCATTACGTATATAGTTGATCATGATGATTAGCCATTTGCGTTCCAATTTCTTGATGAAATCAATGAATGTGGTCATCAATGCCTGGGTCAAGTTTTGTACATCCTTGTTGCACAATTGAATCAATTGATTGATTTTGTCCAATTCTTTTTCGAGATGTTGGATTTTGAATTTGATGGAGGAGGTGTGTGAAGGTATCGTGGTTTGCATTGCCGGTGATGCGACTGCATTTGAAGATGCCGGGGTAGATGTTGATGTTGACGCTGCTGTTGTTGCACTTCCTTCTCCATTGGATTCATCAACGGGCAATTGAAAATTAAACTTTTTCGTTTGGTTATTCCCTCCAAACAAGCCATACCAAGACGCTTTCTTTTGAACCTTCTTCATCGATATATTCTTCAACGCATTGTTTAATGTTGGACTATTCAATTCTTTTAAATGGTCAAGTGAGTTGATGACCACAGCATCTTCTTCTTCATGTGGATGAGATTTGGCAAAACTTGGTTTGCCATGGGATGGGGGTGCATTATCTCTTGTGGTGGTTCCTCCGCCAAGGCTGCCCCCGCCAAAGCTGCTGATGTTGATCAATTGTTGGAATTTGTTGAATTTCAACTTGTACAAAATCTTAAATTGGATAATCTTGTATTTATAAAATTTGATCAAATTTAGAGCTGCTTGGTTGTATTGGATTAGTTGATGTATTGGTTCTTGCCATTGGGGTATCAATTGATTCAAGACAAAGTTTTCAAAATTTAGGAAAACTTGATCCATTGTTGATCCAAACTTCTCAATTGCTTCTGAAAGGGAGTTTGTGGTGGATACAGTAATATCTGTGTAAAAACTAGACTCTCCAGATTGGTCGTATTGTTGTTGTTGTTGCTGTTGCTGTTGTTGTCGCTGTCTTATATGATGGGGTTTTTGATGATAAATTTGCAATGAAAAGTTGTTTAAATTACCACCCAAGTCAATCAATACATTGATCAAGCTTTTGTAATCTTTAGTTGTCTTGATATCCAATTTGTTAAGAAAGGATAAACTGGATATAATCTTGTGGAATTTGGCTTCAAATGCAACGAGTTCCTCAGGGATGGTAAATTTCAAATCATTATTGAAATCACCAGTATTTTCGGTGTCTGAGCCGGTATTTGTAATTCTTGTCCCGCTCAATTCAAACAATTTAATTGAATCATTCAATTTTTCCAAATCATCATTAATTTTTTTCAAATTTGATAAATTATCACTATTTGAGGTAATATCAAATCCATTAACAATTGGCATGATAGAATACAATCCATTTTGGTCAGCAGGGTTGACTGGGTTTGCCAATAATAAGTTGTTTGGTAAATAACTAACTGGTGGTTCATTTAATGCATTGTACCAACACAATTCATAATTTGGATCAAGAAATTTATGCAAAAGTGGACAATTTTTCAATTTGGGGTCGGAATCAAACACCAAGTCAGTTAAAAACAACTTGAAATATCGTCTTCTCATTTCAATTATACTTGATTCACTATTTAAATTGATGGAGTTGAGTAAAATGCTGATTATGGAATGTTTTTCTGGAATCGGTGGTATAATCAACGTGGGGAACAATTTGACTAGATTGTCACGTAGAGATTTGAATTCACTATATCTTCGTTTAACAACAATTTTGCTTTGTAGGATTTGAGATTGTAGTTGAATTGAGTATACTATGGTGGATGAGTTGATTAAACGTTCTGAGTTGATGACGTCGATAGTCAAGTCTGATGCTTCAAGGAGTTGAGTGATTTGATTAGATAGACCCAATGTACTGTTTACTAGTTCAGTGGGGTACTCGTCATTGTCACTAAGTGCGTTGGATACAGGTGAGAGCTGTTGCTGTTGCTGCTGCTGTTGCTGTTGCTGTTGCAGGGAGTGCAGTTGTTGTTTTCGTGGCAGCTGTGGCAGCTGCTGTTGCTGTTGTTTTTCTGTCATCGTCCTCTTCTTCTTCTTTTTCTTCTGCTTGTTTTCCCCATTAGTAGTAGCAGTGGCAGTAGCAGCAGGGTGTGTTGTTGTTGTTGTTGCTACATCACTGTGTGTGCTGATCTCTCCTTGATTGTTACTGTTATTACTGCTTTCGTTATTGCTGTTGTTTGTGGTTGTGTTGTAAGGATTTGTCAATATAGATGCATTGCCATATAAAGATGGGTTATTATCCTGTTCTAAGTCATCAAATAAGGAGTAATCATTGGACATGGTGGGGGAGGAGGGAGGTGAATGCAAAAAAAAAAAAAAGAAAAATTAAAATAAAAAAAAAAGAGCAAGAAAAAATAAGAAGTGGTGAGAAGCAACTGATCAATCAAATGTGTGTTGGTGTAGGGTATGTGTGTGTGTAATAGATTGATAGCAGTGGTTGTTGTGTTGTGAGCTATTTGATCCTCAATGTGTGGTTTATAGAGTTTGGTGTTGTTATCTCTTTCTCTTTCTCTTTCTCTCTTTCTCTGTTGTTGTTGTTGTTGTTGTTGTATGACACATAATTAACTGACTATTAAGATCAATGTCGTAAGTATAAGTTATGCGACACTCGTGTTAGTTGTATGAAATAGCTTTAGCCTTTTGTTTTTTTTGTCTGTCTGTCTGTTTAATGCTATTGTGTTGTGTTGTGCTGTATTGTACACAAAATCTAAAAATAAGAAAGGAAAGAAAAAGATAAACAATAAACAACTATTGTGTCTGTCTGTCTGTCTTTTTTGTCTGTGTGCCTTAAAGAGAGAGAGAGAGAGAGAGAGAGAGAAAATGGTGAAAATGCTAATGTTAATGAAAATGGTTGATGGCTTAATCAGGTAGTTAGTTAGTTAATAGTAGTAGTAGTTAATAGTAGTAATATTGTTACAGTGTAAGAATATCACCCTATACTCTTTATGAATATGTACAAACACGTTATATAGTTGTAGATCTTCTTCTTCTTCTTCTTCAACAACAACAACAACAAACAATATTTTTAATTTTTTAATTTTTTAATTTTTAATTTTTATTTTTTATTTTTTATTTTTTATTTTTTATTTTTGTTTTATCGAATTCTCCTTCTCCCTTTCCTTTCAATTTCAATTTCAACTTCATCAGCATCGTCATCTTTTTGTTCAGTTCAAACAAAACATACACATACACATACACCTACGTTACATATCCCACCAACTATACTTCATAATCTAACCTTCCTGCTGGCAAAGATCTACCAAAAAAAAAAAAAAAAAAGCTGAATACCACGTGTACATATAGCCTACAAGACAATCTAATTAAGACTCAGATCTTTATCTCTCAATCACAGCCTACCTCCTTCCATCACAACTACTTATTCTTTACCTTTGTTACCCGCCTGCAACTTCCCCCGCTCCCCCTCCTCCTCCTCCCGTTCTGCCTTTTTCTTTTCAAAAAGCCATGCCACTCGTTCTCCCAACAAAATTCAAGGCTACTCAAATAGTATTATCAGTACTATTTGTCTTCACCACTGTCAATATACTATTGGCACTTTACTCAACTAATGGCAGTAACAGTAACAACAGCAATAATAACGAGAAAGGCGGTGGCAGCTACTACAAATACAGCAAAGAGGGTGTGTCTGCAATATTTGGCAAATTGTCATCACTCACTATACCCACCCTGCTGCTGCTGCTGTCGCTGCTGTCGCTGCTAAAACAAAATGGGCGGGATTACAAAATAGTTGGCTACCATCACAACGAAGACAATGATTTTGTTGTCTTTCAAAAGGATTACCTGAGCACAGATCACTTGGCTACAGATACTACTCATCATTTCTGGAACTTTGTCAATTCTGACCTAGACTCCAGACAAAACTATGACATCAAACTAATCAACGGTTACAACTACAAGGATTATGTTTCCAAATTGAACAATCAGCAGTCGTTAATGTTGAATACATCCTTTTCTGACCATTACGATATGGAAATGAAGTTTACTACTGCCTTTATTGACTTTTTCAATTTAGTTTTGACATCAATTGCAGATTGCAAGCCAGGCGTCAATGGTATCAATAACGATGAACACTACCCCAATGCTGGCAAATTGGAAAAATATTTTCAAACTACAAACAAATTGACTGATGAGGAATTAAACAATTTTAAATTCAAACGTGAATTGATTCACAAAAATGGGAGGATGCCAGTCTATGGTGGACACTTGCGTGAAAATTACCAACAAGAGTTGATTCGAAATAAGGATTTATTATCAATGTACATCACTTTGAATGATAAGGAGACGGAGACTTTGAAAAACTCCCATCAGCAATTTATCAAGTCCATGATGAAGGATTGGCCTGAGGATTTAACCAAATACAACAAGTACAACGATTTCCTCAAGGGTGATGGTATTGTCTATTTGGCTGGTGGCAAATATAATCAATTGGCCCTACTTTCAATCAAGGTATTACGTGAGAATGGCTCTCGCTTACCGGTTGAAGTTATCATCCCTAAGCATGAAGACTATGATGAGCAATTTTGTAATCGGATTTTACCAAATTTGAATGGGAAATGTAAGTTAATGAGTGATTATATCCCAAAACTGTACTACGAAGAGGTTATTAAAAAGGGAGGTGCAGCAGCTGGTTATCAAATGAAGAATGTCGCCATATTCATCTCATCTTTTGAACGAGTTTTGTATCTTGATGCTGATAATATACCCATCAAAAACCCCGACATTTTATTTGTCAATAAGCCATTCACAAACAACCATTTAGTTATCTGGCCCGATTTGTGGAGAAGATCTACTTCACCCAAGTTTTATGAAATTGCTGACATCAAAGTTGATCCTGCTAAAAGAGTGAGAAACTCCTACACAAAAGGTGATCCAAGAGGTGTTTTCCAAAGTGCCGATTACGAAACTTCAATAGCTCACAATTCCTACCATGATTGCGAAGGAGCCATTCCCGAGCCAAGTTCGGAAACTGGTCAGTTATTAATCAACAAAAGAGTACATTTCAAAACATTGCTACTTTCAATGTACTACAACACTTATGGACCAGATTATTACTACCCCTTGTTGAGTCAAGGTGCTGCTGGAGAAGGTGATAAAGAAACTTTCATTGCTGCTGCACATAAGTTAAAGTTGCCCTATTATCAAGTCCAAGAGTTTAACCGAGAATTTGGACCCAAGGATACAACAACCCATAAACATTTGTATTTTGCAATGGGACAATACGATCCAATTGTGGATTACATACAATCAAACAATGATACTGAATTTGTCAACTCCAAAGCTGCTGCTGCTGCTGCTGCTGCTTCCAAGGCAAAGTCGAAACCAAATTCTGGCAAAGATTTGCAAGACAATCCCTATTTATCAACCCCACCCACCAAATTTGCCGACCATGACAGAGACAGCACTAAATACAACTACGACTACCACCTCTACAAGTCGTCCTCCTTGATGTTTCTTCACGCCAATTGGCCCAAGTACTACTTCCAACAATTGTTCACCACTGACGAAAGGGGACCTGTTGACAACAAGGGCAATAGAAGGCGTCTTTATGGCAATGAGCTCAGACGCGAGTTGAGTGCTGGTGCCATCAGTGGCTACGATTTCGAGTTGGAGGTTATTGAACAGTTGAATATGTTGTTTTGTGCCAATCCCAAATATGTGTTGGATGGGGTGCCTGACCCTGACAGTAATGAGCGCAGACATGTTTGTGATTTGGTTGAGGAACAAAGACTGTTTTTGAAGATATCTTGAGGTGGGAAGTGTGGAGATGCAGTGGCACGTGTTGCGTCAAGAAGTACGTATTTTTACTTATCATAAATTACATTATATTTAGATGAGATAAGCCATTATCTTTGATCATAATCGATATAGATGCTACAGCGTAGTTCATGTCGTCGTGTAGCTCAAATATCCTTTTGTTGATGGTTCAAAGGAGGTTTGTTCATACAGATTTGATCTGGTGGTTTGTTGAGGCGTCGGTTGGGTCGGGTGAATGCCCTCCTTTTTTTTTTTTTCAAATAGCCGTACATATACGTAATCTGCAGAAAGGGTTACAAAATGATTTTTTTCATAGGCTATGGTAGATTATTATTTGAGAATTTAAGGTTTTGCGATTCGAGATTTTGTGTAAAGGATATTTTCTGTCTGAAGATCCTTTGATAACAATACGAGAGAGAGTAATTGGAGGTGGGGGGGGGGAGCTGGAAGGGGGAGCTGGAAGGGGGAGGGAGTGTCGGTGAGCTTAAGGCGTGTATGGTTATAAGAGGTTGGTTATGGTGTAAACCCTTCCTATCTCAATAAGTCACATACTGCCGTATTGTCCGTTCTTTTTTTTTTTTTGATCAACATCTCTGCAAAAAAAAAAAAAAACCAAAAAAGAAAATATTCACTTCGAAACACCTTACAAATTTAGCTGAGCTTAGAATAATTGTTTGCCGTTTGGCAATGTCAGAGAAATTGCGAAACCATGCCAGTTTGATTGTGTGAAAAAGCAGTGGGTTTGACGAGGGTTCAAATTTATCAAGTATTCCCGCCCACTTTGTCGACCTATTACACCGACAAAAAAGTACACCTTTAGGCGAGAAAAATAGGGCGACACTGACCCAAAACTGCATCGATATTTAGTACAGTATATTAAAGCAGAAACCGAAAGTCTGCTAAAATTGGAGAGTTGACCGAGTTGGTTAAGGTGACAGACTTAAGCTTGAGGATTTGTTTCCTCTTTAAAGAGTAATCTGTTGGTATGTTTACCGCGCGAGTTCGAATCTCGTACTCTTCATTATTTTTGGACATTATTTGCCTTTCTTTTTTTTTTTTTTTTGATCATCCACGAGTCATTTGTACACTCTTCTTTATCAGATTGATTACTTGTGATTTTTGCACTGATCTCTCTTGATACCACCCTTCTCTTTGCCCTTCTTCATCCTGTTGTTACTGTATTGTTGTTATGCTGCAAAATAAAAGGGGGACATAACTTTTTGGTCGTGTACAAGCAACCAAAGTTTCTGAAATTTCTCTCTGTTCTCTCCGATTGAGATTGAGTGAGTGAGTGACTCTGTGTTCACTCTCGGTCGGCTCATTGGATATTATCGACAACCACCATATATATATATACATATACATATCAATACCATCAGTTTATCATCTGACACAACATCAAACCAATTTATAGAGTTCTTGCTATCTTGAGCCAACTACCGTGCAACAGCTACACTACTTACAGGAAACTTTAACGATACACAATCAGTCCTGTCTTACTTTTACAGTCATCACAAAATAATTAGCAATCAAAGCCTCAAATATTTCCTCCCGAGTATCTCACGTCCGTCTATCAAAACATTTAAAACTACTGTCTCGCCATGTCCAAGATAGTAAGATCTATGAAGAATGTTGTTGGGGGCTATTCGTCAGCACAAGTTTTGGTGAGGAACGCCACTTCTAATGACCCCACGGGCCCAACAACTTACGATATGGAGGAAATCGCTTCGTGCACTTACCAATCGCAAACTGAATTTATGGAAGTTATGGATATGATAGACCGTCGTCTCAATGACAAGGGTAAAAACTGGAGACATATTGCCAAGTCATTGACAGTATTGGACTATTTGGTGAGGTTTGGTTCAGAGAAATGTGTATTGTGGGCAAAGGATAACATCTACATTGTGAAAACGTTGAGAGAGTTTATTCATCTTGATGAAACCGACAAGGACCAAGGGGCAATTATCCGAGTAAAGGCGAAGGAATTGGTGTCTTTATTGAGAGATGATGAGAGGTTGAAGCATGAGCGTGCATTGGCCAAGCGTGGAAGACGTACTGGAACATTTGACGATGATTTAGACAACGATGATTTTGGTGAGGGCGGCGGGAGGGAAAGAAGAAGGGAAAGGAGAAGAGATAGAGGTGGCGATGAGCCATATGATGCTGATTTACAGAAAGCGTTGGAGTTATCGAGAATGACTGCCGAAGAAGAACAACTTCGCGCTAGAGAAGCTGAGAATGATCCTGAATTGGAAGCTGCAATCAAACTTTCATTGGAGGAGGAGGAATTGAGGAGACAGAATCAAAATGCCAACTTGTTGGATTTGAATGAAGATCAGCAACAACAACAGCAACCACAACAGTACTTTTTGACAGGATATTATCAACAACCACAGCAGCAGCCACAACAATTTTTCCAACAACCAACTCAGCAATACCAACAGTACGATATGTTTGGTAATCCAATTCAAAACCCAATGGACACTGGCTTCTACCAGAACCAATTCGATCAACAACAACAACAACAGCCCCAATTCCAACCCAATCAATTTACAGGGTTCAACTACGGACAACCCCAACAGCAGGAGCAGTTGCAACCTTTGAAAACGGGCTCCAATAATCCATTTGCGCTCGGAACCGACTCTGGAACAAACCAGCCCAAGTCGCAGTCTCAGACATTGAATGCGTTAGCAGAACAAAAGACACAAGAACAATATCAGCAACAGCAGCAACAACAACAACAAGCAGCACAACAGCAATCTCAATTCTTCACTCAACCTACCGCTCCGTTGAAACAACAAAACACCTCGTCGTCCAGATTCAACGAGACTCACGAGTTGAATGATCTCTTGACACAAGGAACTGGCTTGGACACTTTTGGAAACACTGGGGCTACTCGTATTCCACACCAGCATACAAAGACCCAAAACTTCATCAACTCCAGCGGTACCGGATACAAACAAGTCAGCAATGATCAACATAGGGTTAGTTCCAATGCTACCGGCAATCCGTTTTTGAACACTGGTATTGGTTACCAACAGCAACAAGCTCCACAGCAACAACAGCAACAGCAACGATTAAACACTGCTTATACGGGCTATGGGTTTGGTAATGCGCAACAACAGCCGCAACAGTACCAAAAACAAGCCAATGGAGAGGGTCCTAGCTTGATAGATATCTGAGCCAGTGGGGAGACAAGCAGTGAGAGAGTGAGTGAGAGAAAGGGAGAAAGGGAGAAAGGAAGAGAGCGAGCAAGGAAGAAGGTTAGACGCATATACGTGTATACTATAAGAAGTTTGTTCAATTTTTATATTTATATCTCGAATTTGTCAAAATTTTGCAATTCCATGGCAAAAATCGATTTCACACACCAGTCCCAGCTAAGAACGACTCCGTTGGAATAACCCTTTTTAAAGCTAGCAACTAGCTTTGCGTCCTTGGTTTTGTTGGCAATTAATATCGACACTGGCTTGTCTTTGTAGATGCAACTGCAAATGGACGTCTTTTTAGTAAGCGTAACTGGAACTTCTTCGTACTCCTTGAGGCCATGATCTTGCAAAATTCGTGAAATGATTTCAATGCCCCCATTCAAATTCTTGCTGAGATTCAAGCTGATTCCATCAAAAAGATGACCACGGGTGTTACATTTCAGTAACAATGCTTGTAAGCTCTTGACACCCAAATCAGTTTTCGCTGAGGGGTTCACCTTGTCCAAGGCGTAATCATCAATGCGATACAAACTCATTGTGTCTCCGTTATTTTCAGCATTTGACAAAACATCCACAATGTATGACGGGTGTACAATTCTGTCCACTTTACTCAAACTTCTCAAAAACTTTTCAGTTCGTAGAATTTTAGGTGCAATTAGTGTGTTTGGGGTATGTTTTGACAAGTCGGTGATGACTTTGATACCGATTGATTGTAGCTTTGTGTAATCACTCTTTGACAATTCAATATCTTGTTCACATCCCGTCATAATTGCAACGATACTACACTCATCAGTTCGAAGGCGTTTCGCATCCGTGTCCAGAGTGGTGCTTCCTGTGTAATCATTTGTTTCCTGCAATTGCTTGCGTTTGCCGTTTACCGTATTTTCCAATTCGCTCATGTATGTCTTCATTTTCTTGCTACTTTTCGACATCTCCAAATAAGCATTTAAATCACTCATGTTGTCATGCAACTTTGCCGCTGCCTTTTTAGCAGCTGATCTTCCTCCATAACGAGAATTGAAAACGGTACCCTCACCAAGATCGGTTGGGGTCTTTGGTGAATAGATTTCAGCACTAATATCAGGTGTACCATTTGAAGGAGTGTGTATACTAATGACATCGTCATTTTCATTTGCTGGCTTGTCGGCAAACTTTTTCAAATCTCCGCTAGACGTTACTTCCCTTTTTACATTGGCCAATGGCGCAGGGCAAACCAATTTTCTCGATTGAGTGCTCTCATCCTCACTCATACTGTCATCAACATTTCCAGTTACATTTCCATTATCTTCACTCGGTCCATCCAACTTGTCCACATCCAAATGTGCTCCACCAATATATGGCTCCATGCCCAAACCCAGATTACCGAAATTTGTGTACTTGGCATCAGTGTGATCTAGCTTCACCCACTCAATGAAGCAATCTTCCAACCACATATGGTTGACTATTTGGACTTCGGGTTTACCGTCCATACCTATCCATTTCGAAACCGCAGCGTCGTATTTTTTACCATCAGCTTTTGCGCAAACTAAAAAGTCATTCTCTCTAGTCAATGTTTTAGTGAATGTTGCACCCATTAAAGTTATCAATTTCGACAAGTACGCTCTAGAATCACCACTATAGTTTGAGATTGAGATTTTCAAATTGGCAAATCCGTCAACATGCTTTGATGGGATTGGATAGTAAAGAATGTTTGAGTTTAACGGCAAGACCCATTTTTTGGTCACTAGAATCGAATACAACCATTGCAAGTTTGCTATAATGATTCTTTTGCTTTGTCGGCTCCTTTGATAAGCTTCGCCGTTCCGATACTTTCCAAGATAAATGTCAATGTTCTCGCTGTACGACGTGACAATGTCCCCTCCAAGTTTCTCTATCAATGCCTTGACAGAATTGGCCAGTCTTTGCGAAAGATTAAAGTCAGAACAAATGTAGAAACGCTTGCCGTTGAAGAAATCCACACCTTTAAATGAATCTTCCTCTGATGGTTTTGGAACCGAATCATCTAGAATGGGAACCCTGAAATCGTTCTTTATTTCATTCATCAACTCACTAGCTTGATTGCTAGCGTTCATGTCAAATGAATCAGAATCGGGAAGAACATACTTTTCCTCATCAATTTTCCTTCCCAATATCAAACAATGATCTATCCAGTGAGGCAACACAATTTTAATATTCATGACAGGGTCCTTGCAATTTGGATCGTGGATGAGGCTAGAAGCAATAATGGATTTTTCGTTGGTCATATCCATGGCAATCAAGTGGGTCGTATACTTGGACAACACATCCAAATAATTACCGCCAAATGCTTGAACTGCAGCGTATATGAGCTCCTTATCTCCTTGAGGCAAGTTATCTGCACAGCAAACAAAGCAATTTCTGAAAAAGTAGTCAGGGTTAGGATTGTATGACTTTATTGGTAGAAGCGTGCTCTGTTCTAGTGAATTGTGAACCCATTCTGGTGTGACAATTGGAATCATTGACTTCTGTGCTTGTGAATACTCGATAAAGTCGATGGAGGAGGTGACTATGTGGGTAACCGATGGAGGATCAAAGTAGTTTATCGAGTTGTCAAATTCATCCTTGGTGTAAACCTTGGTGGCATGGTACTTGCTCAAAATTGACTCAAGCCGAGCAGCCTCCTTGTCATCCAAGTCTATGGATTTGATGATCAAAAATGTATAGCCTTGAAACATGGATACGCGTCTAATGAAATAATCTTTGTTGGTAGTCAGAATGCAACCGAGTTTAAAGGATAGCTATGTGGATACGGAATTTGATCGCCTCTAAGGACAGGTTCTAGCAAACCTTATGCAGTGGCAAAACTTCAACTAAGTAACCTCTGATACCCAGGAGAGGCTAATTTCTTATTTTTTTATTTTGTTCTTTTTTTTTTGCTTATTTATGTTTTCAAACAGGTGTGACGCGTATATGTTACATCACGTGATATTTCATATCCACCTTCAAATATTGTCCTTACGAGAGCTCCTTCTCTTTGGTTACATGAATTACATTACTATACATTCAATCTAAAAATTACTTTTCGGTATATATTCAATACAAAGTCATGGCGTCATTAAAATTCAATTATAATATGCAAAAAAGAAAAGAAAAAAAAAAACAAAAAAAGAATTAGTTATCCACGTCAATCGTTAATCGATGAGTGGATAAACTTTCATCAAACAAATCTCTATTTTCCATCTGAAACTTTTCTGCCCATTTGCGGCACAATGTACTTGCTCTCATGAACTTTCTCATGGCATACTTTTTGAAAAACTCGTCGTGCTCGATGGGGGAGATGATGTACTGAAACATTAGCTCGACACATTCTCTCATGTCGTTGATGCGGTATCCTCCACTATAATGGATCAAATTCCCGTTCCACACAGGAACCTTGCCCAATATCAAGCGCGACAAGTACATGGCCAGGGCACAGCACAAGGACGGTTTCATTCCGATAAATTTGTAATCTATAATTGTAATTTCCAAAAGGTATTTCCCCAACGTCCTAGATTGAACGTCGTAGTCGTCTGCCTTGGATATTCTCCGAAGAAAATTCATTGGATTTGGGTAATTTAAATCAAAGTTCAACACAGTCAAGATGTATTTTTCAGCTTGCAAAATTTCCTCCACCAGATATGAGCCATCGGTGAAAAAGGCATAGTTTTTCACCAGCGGCGAAAAGACTTCCTCGTACTTTGCTGCAATGAACAATGAGCCAGTGGCCAATAATTGCAACTTGTCGATTTCAACTGCCTCAATCGACATGAATCGATCCATTATGTTGATAGCGAGAAACAAGGACTCGGGGAGTAGTTTAAACTTCAAATGCATTTCCACCAACCAATCAACTAATATCGACCTCATTTTGGGTTTCAAGTTTTTCTGCTTGTGAAGGTATTGTGGGTCTGGCAACATTCGCTGCTCCAATTCGTAAAAGTATGCAAAAATGTCGTTGACGTATTCGCTGGCCATTAACGGATCGTCGTCATCTTCTTCATCAAGATCCTGCCACTCGTAATCAATCAAACGAGATTTCTTATAAGTTGAGGTTGATGCAATAGCGTTTGACGACGCAGAGGCTTGATGAGGTTGATGATCTGTTATTTTCAATTTTTCAACCAAGTTTGTTGAAGATTCCGTTGCTTGTCTCTTTTGCGGTAATCGCGAAGGTACAAGAAGGTTCGCCAGCTGGGGCTTGTGTGACGTATCAACCGTGTCTGGAACTATTGGTATAACTCTGTTGATTTTGTTTTGTAATGGTTGAATGTCTCTGGCGAGAGGTTTCCTCTTTTTCAGTAGTTGTATTTGCAGTTGTGTTTGCAGTATTGGCTTGAGACCACTATTGTGGTATTGATTTGATACATCGCCCAAGAATTGACGCGTGGTTGTGTTTGTTGTGTTTGTTGTTGTTGTGTTAGTTGTGTTTAGCTTACTTTCCTTCACGACTGATCTTGGTGGTCTATTTTCCTCATCTGTTGCTTGAATAGCATCGAATGGCTCCTGCGACGATCTGTCATGTGGTAGACTCGACAGCTGTTCTGAAAGGACCTTTGTCTTTGTCTTTGCCTTTGCTACTTTATAGTCGTTTTCGTTACTCGCAGAGTGTGTGATTGTGGTTTGTGGCATCTCTTGGGTAAGATACTGAATATATATATAATTTTTTTTTTTTTCAATTTGTTTCGAAATAATGAGGAATTGCAGTTTGGTGGCCACCTTGACGTGTGTACCTTGTGACTGATGAAGTTGAGTGGTGAAGAGTTGATCTATGTGAAGATTTTATTCAGTCAAACACGTTGTTGAAGCGAGTTGGCAATGGCTGTCGAGAAAAAGCCAAATGGAATTGAAAAGGCAGTCAATGATTAACAACGTGGACAACGTGAATCGCAAGAACAAGTCTGTTGAGAAAAGAAACCCACTTTCTTTGATGTTTGCCTGTTCCTGATCCAACACTCGAGAATGTTGATTTTTTTTTTTTTTCTTGTTCTTCTTGTTCTTCTTGTTCTCCTGCACTGAAAGGGTTGTGTCGTGCAATAGATGAGTTTGTGATTGGTGTCTGATTCTGTATACAAACCAGACGAGACTCAGCTGAAGAAGGGCTAATCGTGTGAATCAATGAGGTCAAGTGAGGTTTTGTCGAATGCCACTTCAGAAATACGTATAATGATGAAATTATATGCACTGCTCTAAAACGGATGTTTTAAATTATTTTTATATTTTTTTTTTTTGAAAGTGTCTGGTTTAAGCTCTTTTAATGCCACGAAAGTAGGACTTGGAACGAGAAGGGGTAACTGTAGTAAAGCGAACGGCGGGGCCAGACTTGTGGAATGGTAACCTTATAATTTTCTGAGTTGATAGGCTTTATTCGCTAACTCAAAGAAAAGAGAAAAGAAGCAGAGTGTGGGACGGAAGGAGGTGTGCAACCCTGCAATGATTTTGGTATTTATGAAATTACGATGATGATAGCAACATTAAAGTAGCGGATATATTGCAATTTCAATAGTCACGTAACCTACAGATCGAGCATAATGAACCAACTATTGTTCAAAGAAAATCGTTCTGTAGAGGCGCTTCTTTTACCATTGTTGGAAGAGAAAACCTTCGATGGTACATAAACGTAGAATGCAGAAAAAGATTTGTGGTACTTTCACGAATGGGTTAGTTAGACCCAAGTAGGTTGAAATTATAAACAAATGGTGAAGAGATTTTGAGTTTGTGATTTGTTTGCAGAGTTTTCGGTGTCTGTGGCAGAAGGTATTTTTAATGTAGAGTTGATGAAACTGAGGTTACAGAACCAAAACACTACATGCATGATTACACAATGCAACCCAGTCAAGGCGAGGCAAGGCATAGCATGGCTACTTATGTCATACCGCTATCACCACAAAGAGGACAGACGTGTTTTCTCAAAGCGTTTGGTTTGAAGAGAGTAGACGCTTGACGTATAATCCTTCTGTATGGAGAGTGAGGCTAAAGATCTCAAAGATTTCATGCTATGCACAACTGTACTGTGCCCTCTGAAGGGACCTCTTGCCTGATACTCAGACAGTTATAGTTAGATCAGCAACTACAACTCAAATAGGTAAAAGATGGTGTCTGTTTATGTTTACCAATAGTCCTAATTTGGTTAACCTGTTTGTGTAACTGTTTTTGTCTGCGAAAAAAGAAAAGAAAAAAAAATAAAAACCCACCACAACGCTATTGTTTTGCAGATTAAGCTCCTAACCTTTTAAAACGGACCATTTATGCTATACAAGCTAACCAAGAAGGAACAACACCGAAGCCTAAACGGAACTAAAAAATGCAAATCATAAATAACTTAAAGTTGCTTTCAGTATTACTCTTGCATTGAGGTTGCTTTCGATCCATTAGTCATGGATTATTAATACAAGGATAACTAGGGCGGGTGCAGTGTAGCGAGAGTAACAGGCCGTGAGTAGGTGCCACTAGTCCGAGTTTTCGAATTTGAGTGCAGTGACCGAGGTGATAAGAAGATTTTCCCTCCACCCCTTTACCCCCCTTGCCAGCTACTGCTCGTACGATCGATCTCTCTACATCGCGAACACTGATCTTAATCTGAACATAGTTACGAAAAGTTGAGCTCAACCACTTAGGACAAGCCGCAGTTCCAACTTACACAATAGCCACGTTTCAAGTGTAAAAGATGAAACTCGAAGTGGCTCCCCGCCCGTGTCATTTCACAAAAATACAAAGTAGCATCAAATAAATAGATAAATAAACAAATAAAGTAGCGCGACTGTTTGTGTTTGATGAGAATTTGGGGCCAATGAGCTCCATTAACAACAGCATGCAAATGTGAGAGGGGTACGCTGTATTCCACGACTGTGCCCAGTATCAATGAGTATGAACGTCCGCCAGTGCACGAGATTTCCAGTGGGGGGGGGGGGGGTAGGAGAGCATTATATAGAATGACTTTCTTGTTTTTGTGGCATGACTGTGACCGCGTTTTGAGGAGAGAAGATCTCTCTCTCTCTCTCTCTCTATATATATATATCCTACTAATTCCTGATTGCTTGGCGGGGTCCGTGACAATCTCATCACATGAACAATGTATTTGGACGTGGTCAGTAAAGTTGCATCTGAAGTCGATGTGTATGTGGCTCGTAAATTACTTTAGTCACTTTTGCACAATTTATAATGTTCAAGTCGCAAACGTTTTTGATGGTTTGTGGGGCCCAAAATTTCACGTGTTTCTTGAGCTGCATACGTGCTTAAGTACCTCTCTTGATTAATAACGGACCAACCGTTTACGTCACCGGCTCCGACTAAATTGTAGACCGCTTTGCAAAACGATACTATCAAAAGGAGTATCCTCGTTCAAACCAAGCATATGAGACCCATTGGGTGCTCTTGCATCTGTTGAAGCCTCCAACAGGCTGCGTGTTTGTTGAATCTTTTTACAAGTGTTATTTATTATATTGACTGTCAACTATTATGCCTATAAGAATGAGGAAAAGGTACCTATGATTTATGAAAACACCTCACGTGAGCTGATCATAGGATAGTAATGCATTGAAGATGAATTGACTCAAATGTTGTGTAGCGACACTACTCTGGAGCGGTGTTGATGCAATTTTATTAGTACTAATTGTTGGCCGAGAGGGTACATGGGATTTTATTGTTGAATCTAGATTTCTTCTTCGACCTGGTGTAGTCTTCAATTGTCTGATCTTTGTGGGAAACTCCTAGGAAGTCCTCTGGACTCATTTCGTTTAATTTATCCAGTAGTCCTAGTAAGTGATAATCAGTAGTCGGTTTAACTCGAACAAAATGCAGGCTGGTCTCTGTCGGTGTTTGCTTGGGCGCTTCTTTGTGTGGTGCACTCCCATTCAAGTCGGAAGGGAAGGTGTTACATTGGTCCGCCTCATCTGCAGAAGTGAAAGGTTCGGCATTGGTAGTTTGAGTGCATTTGTCAACTGAGGGTTTGGTTCTCTTTGTAGTATTTTCTTGTCCTGCACCACCACCACCACCACCACTACCAGTACTCACTTTACTAGACATGTCCTTTTTTCCATCAAGGTTCTTGAAGGACTTGTCCGTACAAGTCTGCGTTTGAGCATTCGATTGAAGTTGGGGTCGACGTGGCGATTTTCCAGAACGGTGGGACCAAGCTTCCAATTCTGGTGGCAGATTGTGCCAATCTCCCTCATCGTCAGATTGTACTCGCCCACTTTCCAGCTTGGGATACGGAGGTTGCGAAATGTGACTGCTTCTCAGGAATTGCGCACGCAAGCTTTCAGAAGGATCACAGTGTGAACGAGCTTCTCTCGCGCACTCTACCTTGCTGTCCTTGCTTTCTACAATCCTTTCCAAATATTGTATCTTGAGCTTCAATTGCTCCACTTCCTTGCGTAGGCTCTCCAGGTCTTCTTTTGGATATGAATGCGACTCTTCTTTCAAGGAGAGATTTGGTCTCTCTAGATCAGTATCTGAGCATTTCAGTTCTGGGGTATCGTCAGTCGGGTTTATCGGCAGTGGATCTGCGTCATCACTTTGCGGGTTAGTCATATTCCCCGTGGTCTTTGGCTTGTTGGTAGTACATGATTCCAACTTCTCATCTACTGTGCCCAGTGTTGGAGGTCGCTTTACATCTGAGTCATTTGCGATTGCACTAGGCAGCAGCATACTCTTGTCGTCTCCACCGGCGTGCTCAGATGTAGTTTGGTTCAGTATTACAATAGACTTGAAATCGTCAAGAGAGATTTGAAGTATCCGTGAAGGATCATGCGTTTTGTTGCGCGGTTTTGACTCTGTTTGTGAAACACTGGCCAGCGACAACGGAGCCACATCTTCAACGACTGACCTTTTACCAACCTCTGTTTGCACTTGTTTGTTGGTTGTCTTGTTAGCTGAGTTGTAACTCTCTTGACCTCTTGTCTTTTCCTGCAGGTAACAATACAGCCTGAGTTTTTCCATTTCTGCAGAGTATGCATCCATGTTCTTTTCCATTTTCAAACATTTTTCAAACGCCAAATCTCTAAGTCTCTGTAATTCTTCAATTTTCCGAGTTTTTCCAACAATAATGGAAGCTTGGTCTTTATTCTCTACGGTCAATTTCTCGATTTGCAGTCGCTGTTGTTTTATCGTTCCATCTTTCACCTGGATGGAGGTCTTCAATCGCTTAGTCTCTTCTTCGAGTCGCTCAATTTCCAGCTTGTAATCTTGCACAAGCCTCTCCTCCGAGCTGTATTTAGCTCTTATATTATCCGATCTTTCCAATTCTTTCTTTAAGCGGAGCATTTCGTTGCGATAGTAGTCACTCTTTTCGAGGTCCCGATGCAACTTTTCGTTTTCAACCTTTAAAGAATCAAGTTGCGCCTGCGGAGACCATTTGTAAGTTTTCTCTTTTGCTGGTGTCGAGCGAAATTTCAATGGACTGCCTCTTGCCTCTTTGACCAGCCCCAAGTAGTTTTTGCTGGGTGATGTGCCTAATTTCTGGGGTGAGCGCTTAGTTGGTGTCCGTGGGTTTGTAAACCGTGACTCGGACATAGCAAAGCCACTAAGTTCTGGCTTTTGTCTGCCTAACCTTGGCGTCCTCGGTGCAACAAAAGGGCTTGATATCTCATCGTTGAACCTAAAATCGTCATTCTTCCTTTCTCTTAAATCCATTGAAAGGTTGTCCAAAGTTGTAGGACTTAACGGGTTCATGGATGGACTCATACTACTCATTCTCCTTAGAGTATCTGTGGACTCCATTTTGACAAGTGGCACGTTCTACTGTATGTGAGTTTGACTTTGCTGTCTCCAATGCTCTTCAGTTTTTGTTTGTTTTTCTGCATTTGTGTTGATTCTCTATGACGCGTCGCAGAAGTTTAAGCTATGTCGCAAATGGGGTTTAGAAAAAAAAAAAGAAAAAACTGTGGATGTCGCGATTTCTTTCGCTCTTTCGACACTTAATTTTTTTTTTTTTTTTTTTTTTTCCCTCGTCTCCACTGTGCCCTACATTGATGATTTTTTATCTCTCTTTTGAGTTGATGCAGATATTCCACTCTGTTACAGCCAGATCACGATGTCAGACAAAGTCAAAGAAATAAGCTCCTTAGCTAAAGAGTTAAAGTCTCACTTGAAGCAATTCCCCAATTTCCCGAAAGAAGGTATTCTTTTTGAAGATTTTTTACCAATTTTCGCTACACCCGATTTGTTCAACAAATTGATCACAGCATTCAAGTTGCACGTGGGTCATACAAAAGTCGACTATGTTATTGGATTAGAAAGTAGAGGGTTTTTGTTTGGGCCTACATTGGCATTAGCATTGAATGCTGGTTTTGTACCTGTAAGAAAGCCAGGTAAGTTACCAGGACCAACTTACCAAGTGGAGTTTCAGAAAGAATATGGTTCAGATGTGTTTGAACTCCAGGAAGGAGTGATCCCCAAAGGTGCCAAGGTTTTGATTGTTGACGATATCTTGGCAACGGGGGGTTCAGCTTATGGTGCGGGTGAATTGGCTCTCAAAGCTGGTGCCGACATCGTGGAGTTCTTGTTTGTCATGGAGTTAGATTTTTTGAAAGGGAGGGACAAATTACACGCTCCTGTATTCACATTGTTTGGAGGACAAGAGGAGAAGTTTCAAGACTCATAGGATGTATAATTTAACCACTTTTAAATACTAAAAACGCCAATTCTCCAATATAAAAATAGATGAAGTAGCCTTGTTCGTGTGTAACATAACTCCCAAAACTCTTCCCCACTATAACATGCCACGTAGGGCCATAAACTTGATCAAGCTCCTTCTTCAAAAATGCAGCAATATCCTTTTCAATTTTGTAGTTTTGAATTGCAGCATTAGCTAGGTCGAATATTTTTAATTGGATGTCTTCAGCCAAATCGGCTGCTTTTAATATTGCTAGATGAACAATTTGTGAACTCCTCCTTTGCATGGAAGGGCACTTCAATGCCAGACCCAGCTGTAAGGGGGAATCACAGTGATATGTTAGTATACCCTCTTTATAGTACTGGACGTAAAGAAACACATACGTGCGTCGTCTTGTACTGACATGTTGACCCTGGCAATCCTTTGTGTGTGGGTTTTTTGATTATTTTATTTTATTTTTTTGTTTTTTTTTTTGTTTACCATTTTTTGATCACTTTAAATCCTTCAATTCCCTACTTAATCTACTTACAACTTTTCATACTTTACCTTGTTTCCCAAAACGTTATCTCTAAATTCATCGACTCCTAAAGCACTGGTATGGCCCCAAGGTTTCAACTTGTTTTCGTTGTCGATTGCAGCACCGAAACACGAGGCCCACCCCTCGCGGCCATACTTTTTGTTGACCGCATCCAAGGTGTCCAAATGGATCAAGTTTGTGTTTGCTCCAATATTGTCTAAAGTAGTCGCAATTTGCAATATAAGTCCCAATGTGGTGATGTAGCCACTTTCTCCCAAATCTTGGTGTCTAATAATTGCTTCACTTACAGCTTCGGCATAGTCTTGATTCTTGGTCTTTTCTAAAACCAAATCACGCGACAACAATCCGCCATAAAACTCAAAGGACATCTTTGTACCGTGCATGTTTTCCTCAGTGGTTCCAATGTCATGCAACAAACTTGTGACAAACACCACTTCATCGTCAAGCTTCCAATCGGGAAACTGGTCTTTGATTATAGCACGCGAGTACAAGTAGACTCTCAAAGAGTGATTGAGCACCTTGCCTGGAAGCTTCTCCCGAGCATACTTAAGCACTGCTTGGGAAAACTCAGAGCTTGGCAAGTCAGTATTCAAATGTGGGACAGGTGCTTTAGGGGTCGGAACAGCTTTTGCAACATCCCTTTCGATTTTGACAAATCCGTACTGTGACATGTTTGCTTATGCACTTGTTGGTGTTGGGAGGAAAATGTTTCTTGGAGTAGCAAACTAGTTGATATTTATAATTCTCAGGATCTGAGCCGAGCAAAGGGAGCAAGGAACAATGGGAGCACCCCTGGTAGCGTAGAGCAATTATTTGTAAGCACACAGAACCGAAATTGTTGTTCAGACTCATCAAGGGCGGGTTTTCACCACTGAAATACTCTAAAAGACTGACCTAGATCCAACAAAACTGATTATAGTGCTAAACAGTTGAGCATTTCCAAATGTAGCGAGAATTGAACATAGTTATTCGGCAGGTCAGTAACGAATCACGTGACTGGAATACTCTCTATCCGTGTGCTTTGCAAAATCTGTCAATCAGTGTCGCAAACTTGTGTCACAATTTATTTCTCTCTCCCTCTCTCCCTCTCTCTCTCTCTCTAAATATTCAGTTTCATTTGAATCGGGAATACGTAACCAAACAGGACTAGAACCAAACACCATTTCCTAACACATACGTACCTCAAATGCTTAATAAGCAGATTTCAGAGATAAAAACAAACTACTTCAAAATTGGCCACGTGAAAAATGTTCAATATACAATCTACGCAGCTGCTGGCAATAACGAGCAAGAGCTATTGGAACTAGAATTGAGTCTACGTCACCAGAATCCCAGCATATTACTCACATACTACAACAAATGCCTTTTCCACTTTTTAATAGATGATTCTATTCAAAATCCGCTAGAGTACTTGAACCAGCCACAGCCAGTCTTGAGCATCAAATACCAAGCCACCGTCAGTATGGAAAAGTTGGCGAACCCACCAAAAGCGGCTGACAATGAAGAATACCTCGCATTCGCAAATATTGGATTTCTTAGGTCTTTGAAGAAGATGACAGTGTACAGCTTAGCGGTACTGCGAGCGGTGCAGGTCTTTGGTAATCATTGTGTTGTCACAAAAGACAAAGTGTCATACCAAATTGTATATATTGATCCATGGATTTTAACTAACGGAGATATTCTTATATCTTGTATTGAAAGAAAATTACCGGTGCTTTATGACCCGTCAATGTTATCTACCAATGGCAATAATCAAGAATTTGTCGTATACATTTTACCCAGTGGGATCAGGTGTCATTTGTTTGACCCCTCGAATGTTGGAAACAATTTTGTTACAAGTCCCGAATTCGATAATGAGCAGCTAATACGGTTGCTTCAGCTCAACACCGGAACAGAGAAACTACAAGGAACAACCTGGGTGAAATTGATACCCAATTTGAAGCATTTGAATAATCAAACATCTCCAATTTCCAAATTCGTTCACACTGTGGAAAACAAGAAATATATTTTATGGCCTTGGTGTCTCTGTCTTTTGCAGTTTGGATTGCGTGAGAAGGCGTGCAACGCTGTGGAATTGGTACCAAAGTATGCGAATCCTATAAGTTTGTTGTCCGAATTTCTTGACTTTAATATTGAATATAAATCCGAACTTGAGCAAATGAGGACGCAGGAGCAGCAGCGAAAACAACAGCAACAGCAACAACAACAACAACAACAACAACAAATAAAAATACAACAATTTCAGCATGATGGACTGCAAACAAACCTTCCTACCGATAACGCAGCGTCCGCATCTCCAGCTTCTAAACAAGATCACCACGCAGCTTCCACTGGCTCTTCAAACACACTGAATGATCAACCGAGAAATCTGAATCAGCTTGGTATAGGTATAAATACGCCCATTGGAGGTGACGTTTTCAATCTACATGTTAACGACGATTTCTTTTCCAAACAGGGCAACGGCCTTCCCGAGCAGAAGGCAGCAAATGTTGACGACGAGATGGAGATTGACGAGTTATTTGGCGGGGATGAAGATGTGGGTGAGGAAGAAGATTCCATCTTGACAGCGCAAGTCGTTGAGAACAACAAGGATGAAGAGAGTGCGAGTGATTTGTTTGGAGGGAGTTCACGTCTGGTTTCTCCTGAACAAGAAGATATAAAGCAGAAAGAACCACCAACTAGTCCTCAATCTAAACTTGATGTTCCATCGAAGAAACCTCTTCCATATTTAGACATTTTGAGCTCGGGCATGACTGTGGGGAAATCCGTATCCCCGGACTATGCTGATCCTGGAGCTCCTGCGCCAATGAATCCAACCCCTTCAGTGTGGTCAAATAGGGATTTAACAGATAGCAATCATTCTTCCCTGCAAAACGATTCTCGCGGCAATAGCGCCAACAATTTTCTTGATATAACCAAACAGACCCTTTTTTCTCCGTTGGCATTTCATCCAGTTATCAAGAAGGACATCGATAATAAATACGGTAAAGGGGGGAAATTTTACTTTGACAAAGAAGTGGAAGGTGCGGGAAAAGTTGGTACCAGAGCAACCAGTGTGAGTGGATCGTCGCCGCTGGCATCAAGGGAATTAAAAAGGCAAAAAGTTCAACTGGATTTCAGCTCAGAAAGTGAAGAGAGTGACGAAGATGACGAGCTGGATCAGGCTTCAGATACATCAGAAGAGCAAAAAGATTTTCAATCAAGCCAAGTGAATGCAGTCGGTGCAAATACAGTGTTGAATTATGGAGCCCCAAGTGTTGGCCCAGACAAGTCGGTATTGTTTACGCCAATGTTACCCACGGGAGGATTTGGATCTCCGTACATCAATAATCTCGGAATGCAAGTAGGTAAGCCCGAATCGCCGTTACCATTGAACGATATCGTAACGTCAATGACGCCAGCGTTCTATGAAGTGTCCAATGGAAATCGGTCTCCACAATTGGCAAACTCTGAGACAAAGAGAGTGACATCAGAATTCTCCAACAAAGCTTCTGAACCATCCAACTTTTTACCGCTAATTTTGAGAAATGTGAACGTGTCAACAATTCCTGCAACGTTTTTAACCAACAACTTAGCCAGTGACAGATTGGTACCCACGTTTTCGATGGCAGATGAGGAAGGTTACAACGATTTGGACACGGTAAATGAAGGTGAATTGGTTGTGAAGTTGAGGAATTTAAAAGAACTATTGCATTTTGTTTCGAGTAGCATCGTTTTCGACTTGGGAGCTACTTCGAAAATGTATGGAAAACTATCGAATGAGCATGCAACTGAGTCCAATGTGCACGATGCACATACTGTTGAATTCCAAACCCCCAATCATGATTTTCTACAAAAAATCAAATCCACATTTCCCCTTTCTTATCAAGTTTGTTTGCTGGAGTTTGCTCATGATTGTAAATATGAACTGGAAAATACCATTCTTGATGGCGCATTGGATTTTTTGGATCAACTCACAGACCTTGATGGTTTGGAATCCCCTAGAGGTATTGCTAGAGAGTTGGATTCAGTGACTTGGAATTTTCTGCAACGCGCCACAGATCAGCAGAGCAAGTTCCAAAAGTATATCGAGTTGTCACAAAAATTAAACTCTGTACAGAACCTGACAGAGGGAAGCTTGTTTAAAACAGAGGATGTAAAAGTCCAGGTGAGTAAAAACGGCACTGTTATTAACCTCAACAGTATTGGAGTTGAATTCTGGAACTATTTGGAGTTTTGCCCTGTTGGTGGGCCGAAAAATTTCCAGTTGCTAGCTGTGGGGGAGACCTCAGAATTTGGGTCTAGTTCCTATCTTCAAGGATTTACCAATAGGCTCGTCAATAACTACAAAAGTTGCAATTTTGGCTCAATATCGAAATTGAGCTTATCTACAGTGGACACAAGACCCGATTTAGAACCTGTGGCTGATGGTGTAATGCTCGTTAGTGGAAAAATGTCGCTAAACCAAAGTGGTTATATCCAAGTGAACAAAAAACTAAATTGTCTAGCCGAATTGATAAAATTGGACTTGATAAACAAAACGAACAACTTTGAGTTTGATAGACCGCTTTTGATCTTATTTATCGACTTTGATGAGAGCTTTAATTCAATCCTTCAAATTTCAAAAGTTCTTCGAAACTTTAAAGTGGCACTTTTAAATCACCAAGTTCCCTTGGTTCAGATCTTTGCAAAGGTGGTTCCCGCCTCCATGATTACAAAGAAGGTGGGGGCAGATATCACTTTAAATCTATTCAATAACTACAGCTTGTCGAAAATATCAATGAGCTTGTACAATGAGTGCCCCCAAGATGAAGGTCCTAAGCTTTCAGCTTGTCAACTATTTGCTCCTTTGGTGAAAGAGGCACCTTCGAGGATTCCATTCAAGTTCATCAACAATAGTTACCGCGATGTATCTGGATCTGAAGACACGTTTGTACACGTTGCGTATGAGAGATCTATTGATAAAAGCTGGTTTGCAGCAGCCTGGACCGATCCATTGGGTCTTGTAAAACACACAAAGTCGTGGTATTGCTTTTCCAACAATGGAGAAACTAATGGAGTGAAGTCGTCATCACACAATTTTCATAATGACAAAATGGGTGTTGCTACGATTGTAGACGACATATGGAATATCTCGTCGGAGTTATTCTCTGCATTGAAACGAACCAAAGATCGGGAAAATTCAATAGGCGGCAAGAGATTTTTGGTTTTGACGAGGATCAACAGTGTTATTCCTGACGATGAGTTAATACATTGGAAACGGCTCAGTATGAAGTACAAGGACATCTCGTTGATTGTATTATCAGTGAACCGGACTCCCAAATTGACGCTTTCGTCGACCTCGACTGAGTGTGTGGAGGATAAATCACTCGGTAGAGACGGCGATGGTTTTTTCGGTGTCAGGAACTCGAATAATATGAATAATACATCACCAAATACTTCTGGCGGGGGGTTGGTGTTGGCTACTTCACCCAATGGTATGGCATTTCACTCGCCACAGCAGTTTTTAAATCTACCGTCCAATTTTTTGTCACCGCAAGACGTGTCAACACCAGGAGCCTCGGCAGGGGTTACAGACACTCAAAATGAACCCGACGGTGTCTTGAAGGAAACAAATGGGGACATTTACGGGTTCATACCTCGAGTACAACTTCCTCCGTTCAATTCACCGAGCAGGATGAATATGAAAACAGGGTACTTGATTAATGAGCAAGGTGTCACCATGAGCGACGAAGAGAAGGGATACTTTGTATTTGAAGTCAATTTACTCAGCTGTTCGAATTATTGGAACTTGGATAGTTTGATGAAAATGATCTTGAAACAGTACAAAAACCTAACAGTTTTGAATGATATACTTGGAACGAGGTCAATTGATGGTTTTGATGAGGCAGACGCGGAGCATGACAACTTGCCTGATGCAGCGCGCTTAGTTCCCTGGCATATCAATGCTGTGGGAAAGCTTTTGAACTATTTAGTACATATATATGTAGAGGAGTAAGTTTTGCATATAGTAAGTGGCGTGCAATTTGGATAGAAAAGGAAAAAACAGAAAATAAAAAAAAAAAAATAAAAAAAAAATCATGAACAAAAATGGAAATCAACCGTCACACTCATTAGAGACTGGCGTGATCAGCATTCAACCATGTCGGATAATCCGGAGATAAAACACGAGGACAACGATCTCACTTTTGATGAGGAGTTTAGGAGAGCCGATGAGTCTGTCCAGAACTCCCACAAAAGGCCAAGAGAAGAGGAGGAGGATGATAATGATGACGATGAAGAGCAAGAGCAAGAGCAAGAGCAAGAGCAAGAACTAGAGGAGGATGACGATGGGGAGGGGGAGGGAGAAGATGATGATGATGATGACGAAGAAAGCTTACCTAGTAGGAAGAGAAAGAAAAAGAGGGGTGCCAATCAATTCTTTGATATCGAAGCTGAGGTCGATGAGGAAGAGGAAGATGAATTAGACGAGGACGACGAGGAGGCAGAAATGTTGAGGCAAGAGTTTATCACTGACGACCACGCTGGTGATGATCGAGATGGAATTAATAGGGACGACAGGATGCACAGACAATTTGATCGTCGTCGTCAAGAGGCTGAAGATCAAGATGCCGAACAGTTGGCTGAAACTTTGAAGCAAAGGTACAGAAAGTCACATGTTGCTTATAGGGGAGATACTGCTGCAGGGGGCACGGTGTCGCAAAAGTTGTTAATGCCATCTATTAATGACCCATCGATTTACGCTATAAGATGCACACCCGGAAAGGAGAAGGAGTTGGTCAGAAAGCTCTATGACAAAAAGAGAACCTTGGAGAGACGGAAGATGCCATTGGATATTTTAACAGTTTTTCAAAGGGATTCCTTCAAAGGATATATATACATTGAGGCCAAGAGATCGGATGCAATCGACAAGGCGCTACAAGGAATGGTGAATGTGTTTTTAAGAGATAAACTTTTGGTTTCCGTGAAGGAGTATCCCGATTTGCTAAAACAAGTCAAGTCGTCAGATGTTGAAATTGTGCCTGGAATATATGTGAGAATTACCCGGGGCAAGTACAAGGGTGATCTTGCTGTGGTCGAGAACTTGTCGGAGAATGGCTTGGACGTTTTGTGTAAGGTTGTTCCCAGGCTTGATTACGGAAGAAACGATGAGTTTACTCCAGATGGGAAAAGGATAAGGCTGACCATTAGACCACCGCCAAGACTTTTCAGTGGGAGGGATGCCAAGACGTACGACTCGGCCAACGTACAACAGAGAGGAGAGAGGAGGTACACTTACAAGGGAGATGAGTATGAAGATGGCTTTTTGTACAAGGACTTCAAATTGCAGTACATTCAAACCAAAGACGTTCATCCTACTCTTGCCGAGCTTGATTTGTTCCAGGCTGGAAAAGATAGTGATGGTATTGATCTTGCAAAGATTGCTGCGTCATTGAAAAACAAGAAGTTAAACGATGGCAAACAATCCACCGCATTTCAACCTGGTGACAAGGTTGAAGTTCGTCGCGGTGAGCAAGCCAAAACAGTAGGGCTCGTTGTTGAGACTGCGTTGAATGAGATCAAGATAACTGTGACGGACAGTGGGGATCCAAAGTTTGTCAATCAGAAATTAACGGTGCCGGCAAATGATTTGAGAAAAATCTTCAATGAGGGTGATCATGTTAGGATTGTGGAGGGAAAGCATTTCGATGAAACGGGGTTGGTGATCAAAATTGATGGTGATTCTGTCATATTGGTCAGTGACCAGACAAAAGAAGATGTCAGGGTCTTTGCAAATTTCTTGGTCAAGGCAACCGATGCATCCTCGAATGCCGATAACAAGCATTTTAAATACGATATAAAGGATTTGGTTGAGTTGAGTGCTTCCACGGTGGGAGTTATTGTGAAGGCGGAAAGGAACATTTTCGAAGTGCTTACAACTGATGGAAGGCTTATAAATGTTAAACCAACCGCTATTGCTTCGAAAGTTACGCAAACGCGCCGTGAGCAAGTTGCTACTGATAAAAACGGATTCACCATTAGAATAGGTGACACCGTGAAGGAGTCTGTTGGGGACAAAGGTCGAGAGGGGGCGATATTGCACATTTACAAGAATGCATTGTTCATCAAGGCCAACGAAATCGTTGAGAACTTGGGTATATTTGTAACTAATCGAATGAATGTCAGTACTGTTGCTACCAAGGACGCAATTATATCCAAGAGCTTTGGTCCTGATTTGACGAGCATGAATCCAAACTTGAAGCTTCCTGATCAGCTCGCTTTGCAAGGTTTGAAAACACGCGTGCAAGGAAGAGATAAGTTGTTGTACAAGGACGTGGTGATTACCCATGGTAGTTACAAAGGGTTGAAGGGGAAAGTAGTCGAGGCAGATGATACATACGCTAGAGTGGAGTTGCACACAAAGAGCAAAAAAGTTAAGGTGCTCAAGAGAACCTTGAGTGTTTTGATAAGAGGAGAGGCAGTTCCCTACTTGCGGTTCATCGGTGCTGCACCAGAACAGGCTGCTGGGGCCTATTCTCAGCCTACAACCAACCCAGCATTTGGCAGTGCAGGAGATAAGTCAGTTTGGAGTGGAGGTGCTACCCCAGCCGTTGGAGCTGGTGGAGGAGCCTCTACCTGGAATAGAAGTGGAGGCGCTTCCACTTGGGGTGGGGCACGAGGAGGAGGCACTTCCAGTTGGGGTGGTGCTTCCGCCTGGAATGGAGGTGGCGGTGCGTCAACTTGGAATGCAAGTGCAAGCGGAAGTGGCGGTTCTTCGGCTTGGGGAGGTGCTCGTGGAGGAGGCTCAGTATGGGGTGGCAAAAGCGGAGGAAGTTCCACATGGGGTGGATCTAAAAGCAACGGATCTGGGTCAACGTGGGGTGGTAGTGGTAACGCTGCTGGTGGTGCTGGTGGTGCTGGTGGTGGCTCTACCTGGGGAAAGAGAGGGAACAATAGTACCTGGGGAAACAATTAAATCAAGAAGAACACAGTATATTTTCAGTTCCAAGTATATATAAATAAAAAGCGTCTCTCTATTGTGCGTTTTCGCAACCGGGACAATTGTGCAATACCTCATGAACAAAGACATCACAATTTATGCAAAAATCGTTGTTGCACTTTGCACATCGATATCTGGAGCTTGTTATAGAATCGATAGTCCCTGTGGCCTTGCTTGATTTTGTTCCCGCTGGAAATTTCAATTGACATCCGTGGCAGAAGTCAGTGTCGTAAGAAGGGGATACGGGAACTTCTTTGTAGGGGGCTAGTGGAACCAAATGGTGGTACGATCTCGCCAAGTGCGTAGATAAAATAAGCATTAGCCCACATACTGGACAGATTGTAGGAAGATTGCACACCTTGCTTTTGCATTGGGGGCATTGATATCCAAATGTCTGTGAATGTACAGTATCCGAATTTACTTCCACAACCTCCCTCGAATCGTTGGAACCTTGCGTTGGATATGATGCATTGAGTTGAGGGAATTCCACCGTGTAATCAGCATTACCTATGGTGGAGGTTGCGCTTGGCTGTACCTTTGAAGGAAATCCCATTTTTATCAAGGGGACGCCTTTCATGTCCATTTTGGTTTCTTCACTCTCTGGTAAGGGCAATGGAGTGACACAATCCATCAACAACTCCTTGAAGTGAGTCTCATTCATAATCACACCGTAATGTTTCGATGCTGAATTGCGTGGCTCATGGTTGGTTTTGTTGACCAATTCTTGACATATAGCAACTTGTGCAGAAAGTCCAATTACACTGACTTTAATTTTTTCCTTTACTAGGCTCTCTATCGTCTTGTGTATGTCACCTGGATCACTAGTGAATAGAGAGCCAAACACTAGCAAAATTTCTTTAGAGTTCTTAGAATTGTTAGATGCTGAACCAAAGTTGAATTTGAGCAAAGAGCGTGCCATTTCCAAACAATTTTGCAAAGAGGGATCTCCTTTTGGTTCGTACTTGTTATGCTGTCTCGCTTTCAATTGTCTCAATCTATCTATATGGTACTGCGGCAGGCCACTGACCTCACTAATCAAATTGGCGACACCATTCCTCATCAATATGATTCCCAATTGAGATATCGGATTTTGGTCAAAAAACTCCACCACAAACTCCAGTAAATAGTTTAGCGTTAGTGACAATCGAGTTGGTCGTAAGTCCTTTTCGGCCATCGCTAGCGTTCCGTCCACAATAATGACTAGTGTCCTGATTATCCCTCTTTGAAAGGGCGTGCTCAAGTTCTTCATGATCTTTTTCTTTCTGTTTTCAATTATTGTTTGAACCATGGCTTCAAAGGAGCCGCTGCCCTGTTCGTCATCTTTGACTATGTCCCACGATCGCTGGTACTCATCCTCCCATGCGTATCCATTTGCTCTTTTCAAGTCACTCACTTCGCCAGTGTGCTGTGACCGCGTTCTTGTTGACACTCCTCCACGTGGCGGCGCAGTTTCAGTCGCAGAAGGGACAAATCCTGATGAGGGTGATCGCGACCCAGTTGGTGTAGATATAAACTCTTCATCTGAATCGTCCATTGTTTGGGAAGATGATGCAAAAAGTTTCAAGGGACATTTTTCAAATTCTATTTGTTTTATTTTTTTTTCTTTTTTTTTTACTTTATCTTTGCTTCACTCTCTATTTAGTTTTACGTTTCTTGTGGAGATACTTATCTACAGATTGTTCGTAGTTGACGTGCCCGTTGGCGGTTATTTCATAGAACAAGGAGGAAAATGCCTCTATTTGGTTGGAATCTATCACCCCTAGCTCTTGCTCCAAATACGGTATCTTTTTCACGTCGTCAATATTGATAAAGTTGCGAATAAAATACCCTTCTCCAATGAGCGGAGTTATTTCCTGTCCATCTGTGAATGCCTCCCATCTTGTGTCTCCATAGAAATCAATGAATTCAGCTTTTGACAAATTGGTTGTGTTTGCTGGAAATTCCTTCTCCTCTATATTCTTGTTCTTCTTCACTTTGGGCACTGGTGCTGATTCATTTTCCTGAATGTAAAAGTTGCGAAGCAACTGGATCGCTTCCGTTCTGCAGATTCCTCCTATACTGGAATAAGTCTTGTGTGGCAACTTTTCATCCGTGTTAATAGGGAGTATAGTACCGTTACCACCAAAGCGATCGTTTCCACACCCATAGAATACTCTACCGATTCCCAATTGTCGGAGATAGGACGCACACATTATACATGGCTCAACGGTAACATACAAAGTGAGCTCACTATAGTCAGCACTCCCATTGAGTCGCTCTAGTGCGATAAACTCGGCGTGTTTGGTTCCATTTAAGGAAATGTTTGTGTAGTTGTAGCCTATACTTAGAACTTCATCGTCTTTGGTGACGATGCAAGATACGGGAGTCTCGTTATTTAGTAATGCTTTGTAGCCTACAAACAAGGCCGTTGACATAAATTGGAAATGCCGCGTTAGATCTGTCATGGAGGGTGAAGGAAGTGACAGGAAAACTCTATTTGTCCCCTTTTCGTACTTTTTTTTATTTTTTTCCTTCTATTTAACTGCTTTCCTATTGTTGAGCTTGACTCAAGAATGTCTGACTTGCATAAAGCATTTCTACAGAGAGTTAAAAAGAGGGAGTCTGAGCTTGGACTACTGCTGTTGGAGGAGGAGGAGGAGGAGGAGAATGAGTCGGGGACTGGTGTTGCTGGAAGTACACCGAGGAAGAGCACCACTAACAAGATTGATTTGAATATTTTGAGTGAATATAAGCAGTTCAAGACGACGCAGTTTGTCACTGAAGAGTACTCTCGTGGACTGTCGGTTTTCCAAACGTACTTTAAAAAGTCTAAAAATCCCGGACCAGTGTTGGTGTGTGGCCACGGAGCAGGTTCTTCGTCCATGACTTTTGCTGAATTGTGTCGAAACATCAGCGATGAAACACTTAGTGTTTTTTTATATGATATGAAGGGTCATGGGGGCTCGCATGGGGGTGACAAAGACTTCTCATTGGATACACTTGTGGAGGACTTTCATTTTGTATTGGAAGAATTTGTTTCAAAACACCACCCCTTGGGAATATTTTTGTTGGGACATTCATTGGGGGGTGCTATTTTTGCAAAGTACGTTCACAAGTATACACTGGATCTTGTTAGAGGGTTGATACTTTTGGACATCGTGGAAGAGACTGCCGTCACCTCGTTGAATGTCATGCCCTTTTTTCTTGAAAAGTTGCCAAAATCATTTCCGTCTATATCAGAAGCTATTAATTGGCATATGAACTCGCTTCTATTTAACCAACAGTCGGCTAGGTTGAGTGTGCCGGATATATTCAACTTGGACGCAATGACATGGAAGATGGATTTGAAGCAGACTGAGCCGTATTGGGAAACGTGGTTCACTGGCTTGTCCAACAATTTCCTTAGCTTTCCCAAAGCGAAGCTTCTCATATTGGCGGCACATGAGACATTGGACAAAAAACTTACAATTGGTCAAATGCAAGGTAAATATGAGTTAGTTGTTTTCAACAATAGCCAAAGGAGCGGTCATTTTGTTCACGAAGACTTGCCCAAGCACGTTGCGCTTCGTGTTGAGGAATTCATTTGCAAGGTATATTCTCCTGAGAAGTATATGAAGGATCATCTCGGTATTGTGCCGAAATGGGGAGGTAAGATTACATAAAGGTATATTTAATCCACGCTAACATTGCTACGTTGAACCTCTTCTCGTCTCTTGTTGATCTGCTCAACAACCTCATCAATCTTTTTACTTGCGTAGGGGAACCTTGGATTGATAAGGAACGGCCTTAGGTCAAATCTGTTATCGTCGGGCGAATACTGTTCCGCGTGGTAAGCAGGAGTCATGGTTGTCATCTTGTGCCTGTTAACGGCATAGAAGAACCAGAACCTTTTAACCTTTTCTGCCACTTGCTCGGCGGTCAAGTTGTGCGGTGGCTGAGACCATTCGTGGTATAACTTAATGAACATGGCCAATGGCCCACACTTGTCGACCTTTCTCAATGTACCAAATCGTGAAAGTTCGTCATACGTCATTCCCATGTCGACTTCATCGCTTTGAACATAATCCTTTGTAATTGGCTCTAGTTCGGCAGTAGGGGTAGCAGTGATAAAGTCATGCAAGATTGGCAAATCAAACCTTTTTTCAGCCCAGGAGATGAACCTCTTCAAGTCCGTTTTGGAGATACCTCCAATGGGGTTGACATCGGCAGATGAGCAGTCGTATTTAGTCAAGTATCCACGGAGGCATTCATCAACATTGGCGCTCCCCAACACCAATAACCCAGGCACGGGGAGTCCACGGGTCCATGGTAACAACTGCGCAAACAAATAACTCAACACCATACGCAACCTTGCTTGTATATTTTGCAACGCCAAATTTTCCGTTTGTGAACCGCCAAATATTTTAAACATCGGTTTTTTACCGGTGGCAACTTCAAACAACGAAACAACGGCTGATACAAGATTGTCCATGTTCAAGTCCACATGATATGATCCAATTTTTTCAGCTAAGTCTTTGGCTCTAGATCTAGTGTCGTTTGATGAGTTTTCCGTTCCCATGAACGAGGTGCAAAATATCTTTTTAGCCAACTCCTGTGGGGTTTTTGGGGTGAAGTTGGCATCGCGGGTTAGACTTCTAACGTCCGCCAACACTTGCTCGTTGTTTGACTGCACCGCCAATCTACACATCAGATGTACAATCACTGCTGTTGCGCACGAATCGATTCCTCCACTCAATGGAAGGAAATAGCCACCACACTTTGATCTTCTCAAGTAGTCCCAGAGCCAGCAAGCAGGTCCGTACGCAATCTCTTCCTCCGGTGAATGGTACTTGATCTTTTGTGGGCGAGTGGGTGCAACGTCGGGGTCGTAAACATAATCACTAGGCGATAGCTCCAAGTCAGCGTAAATGGTTTTGTATGGTTTCTCCTGGTCCACTGCTTGCATTCCTGCTGATTTCTGATTTCTGTACGAGCGAACATCATCGAGATCTATGGTTGCACTAATGACTTCGACATCGTTTAGTGAAAATTGTGACGCCTGAGCTAGCAACTGACCGTTCACTACAATACATGCGCATCCATCGTAGTATAATCTGTCACCATCGCACCCTCTTTGATTTGCATACAAGTACACCCCACCACATTTTTTCGTTGCGTTGGTGATTAAATGCAACCTGGTATCCAACTTTCTCAATTCGTGGTGTGACCCACTGGAGTTTGTAAATATCTCAACCCCATCCAAGCTCATTGCAATGTGTGGTGATTGCGGTGTGAATAGCTCTTCGCAGGTCTCGCAGCCTAACTTTGTGTCCATAGTCTCAATCACACAATCGCCAAAAATGACCTTCGACTGGCCAGTTGCTTTCGCAATGCTGCGCGGAAGATAGTGCTCCTCATAGTATTTTGGCCTATTCCAAGGAGTAAAGTACCTCATCTCCCTGTAATTTCCATTGTTTGCGAGAAACAATTTTGGTCTAATGAGAAGAATTTTGCCGTTGTAGGAGATGATGCGGCAATTGTACTTTATTGACTTGTGGATTATAGCAATACCTATGTCGAGCAAGATTCCATGCGTTTCCGGGTTTGACAAGATCTCGGCGTATACATCCCAACTGTGCTCATACAAGTCATTCTCGTCAAAGTGGTCCAAACAACCGTACCCGCAAACCTCAAGTTCAGGGCCAACTCTGAGTTTTGCGCCTTGCTTTTTGGCTTCAATGATGCTGGCAATGATCCTGTCTCTGTTTCCCTCGAAGTCAAGAGCCCATTGATTGAGATTGCAAGTGGCAAGCGTGACGTAGTGTCCCATGTTTTACTTCAGTGGTGGGTTGAATGCGATTTCTCTTTTCTCTTTTCTTTTTTCTCTTTTCCCTTTTCTCTTTTCTCTTTTCTCTTTTCTCTTTTCTCTTTTTTTCTTGTTGAAGATTTTACGGAGGAAGAGTACAAAGTTTGCAACAAGCCAAAGGGAGGAAATGGGATGGGGGGCTGCTATGGGTAATTGCCATTGAAGGGGTTTGTGCAGCTTGAGCTAAACCCAATGAACTATTGCGATGATCAGATGGATAACTCCGAAAAGAGAGCGCCAGTTTACATTTCTCTTTTAAGTCCGTTCATCTATGTACACTAATTGGAGCTGAGAGGACTAGGAAGCACAGTATCTCCTCTTCTTGTTCTTCTTCTTCTTCTGCTGCTTCTTGCGATAACTCCCCATTCGTCTGTTGATAATTGTTTCGGCTGCTTCCCTCCGGCAAAAACCACTCTCTAGTCCTCTTCCGACGGAACAGACTCGGGATCGGCATTTTCCTCTCATTATATGCAGGAGAAAGTAATCATTTCTTATCAGTACAAATCACCCACCCCCCCGCTCTTTAAGAGCATATCAAAAGCAAGCTGTATATAAAACCACGCCAAGGGAACCTCCAATTTCTGCTTCACTTGCCTTGCACATCACCCTCACTACGATGCATAAAGACGCTGTTACTGTTGAACCTTTGAAAGATACCCCATTTGGCTGCACCATCAAACTCCCCACATATTGCCAAAATGATCCTGCCAATTTAAATGACGAGGACTTCAAGTTGTTGAAAGAAGCTGTGCAAACACATTTGGTGGCCGTTATCCCCGATCAAGCTGAGCTTGCCCCAAAGTCACAATACTTGTTAACAAAGAGATTTGACCCTTCAATCCCTGAACCAAAGGAGGAAAATGGTGCGGGTTATGGTCATGGTAAGGAGTTTAGACACGACAAGTCAGTGTTGAAGAAGGACGGCTGCTCCGTCAAGTCGCAACCACAGGTTCAAATTCTTGGTCAAGGTAGATTTGAGGCGGATGAACCAGGAAACGAAAATGGAGAGGCTATTAACTTGACTCATCCTTCACACACAACATTTCACCACACCCCTTTGACAGAGAAACAAATAAAGGAAGAGAAAAGGACCAGGTTTTACAGATGGCACATTGACAGTGCTTTGTATGGTTTGTCGCCACCAATGGTTACTACATTGCTTGGGATCAAGGTTCCACCCGCCACACAATACCAAACAATCAAGTACGAAGATGATGGAAGCGAATTGAAAATAACTCAGGGTGCCACTTGCTTCATCAGTGGAGCACAAGCTTTCCAAGGATTGAGTGATGAGGATAAACAATTTGCTTTGAATACCACTGTTGAGTATGCTCCACATCCTTATATTTTCATCTCCCCCGCCAAGGCTACGTCCGATGGATTGACCATGGTTTCCGAAGGTAAAGAGATGGACTTTAAGGATCTACCTGAATGGGAAGAACTGAAGGTTAAGAAGTTGCCCATGGTTTGGACAAATCCAACCACCAAGGAACACCATTTGCAGGTGCATGGATGCTGTTTGTACAAGTTACATACAAACATAAACGGTGAGACCAAAACATTGGGTTTGAAGGAGTCGAGGGAAAAAGTGCATCAAATGATGAGACCGGCTATAGCTCCAGAAAGGGTCTTGGCCCACTCTTGGAAACAAGGGGATTTGGTGTTGTTTTTCAATCGTGGAGTTTGGCACTCAGTCACTGGGGAGTTTAAAGGTTTAGGAAGTGACGGTAAAGACGAAAGAAGGTTGATGCATCAATGTAATATTGCCAGTGGACAAGATCCGGTTGTGGTGGGTGCATAACTGTGTGTCTTTTAGTAGTAGTAGGAGGAGTAACCTGTTCTGTTCTGTATAGTTTTTTAGATTGCGCAATTAGAAGATTTCCGCTCCGCATATATTTTTTTTTCACAAGAAAAGTTTCCCCCTCCCAATTCTCCTCTTCTTTCCTTTTGGTGTCCAACACACACACACACATACACACACACAAAGAGAGAGAGAGAGAGATCATGCAGTACGTGGGGAAAGTTGGGGGTTACGTTTACAACCAATGGAACTCATTGAACCCAGCTACACTCTCAGGAGCCATTGATGTCATTGTGATTGAACACCCCGATGGTACCAGATACACGTCGCCTTGGCACGTTCGGTTTGGACTACTTCAAATTATCAAGCCATCGCAAAAGAAAATTGACTTGTATGTGAATGACGTCAAGACCAACTTGCCCATGAAGCTAGGCGAAGGTGGCGAGGCCCATTTCGTATTTGAGGTGAATGACACGGATCATGAATTGTCGAATAGTGTGTTGACTTCACCGTTGATCTCACCGGTCTCGTCACCATTAAGCACACCAGCAAATAGCGATAACGAACCCGACTACTTTGACTTGGATGAAAAGACTAAATTGAGTGATATTCCGAGCCCAAGAAGTCCATCGCAGCTGAAGAGGTTGGTCATTGAAGACGTTAAAAAGATTACCCAAAAGTTGAACATCCCCACAAAAATAGACTTGAATGGGGACATACTCGTTGACATGGATGGCTACAAGCCAAACTCGCAAAAGAATATTGACAACTCTGACGAGTTGTTCAAAAAAATTTTATTGGAGGAGATTGAAGGTGACTTGGGTGAACATTCTGTGAAGGCTTGGAATCAGATAATCACAAAGGATGAAAGCGGAAACATAAGGATATCTAACGCATTTGATGATGATGGTGCTGAATCGGATGAGGATGTAAAGCTTCCCTCGACAACAGGAACTACTTCTTCAATAACAACCGTGGGTACAACCTCATCGGGAGACAGTGACAAGGTTTACTTCAAGACATTGAGGTTGACATCGGAGCAGTTGCAGATGATGAGTTTGAACTACGGGGTAAACACACTTAAATTCAAGTCCAGGGAAAGCTCGTCACAGGTGACAGCAAACTTGTTCTTGTGGAAGTCAACCACGCCCATTGTGATTTCAGACATAGATGGAACTATAACCAAATCGGACGCACTAGGACACGTATTGAATTTGATTGGAAGGGATTGGACACATCCCGGTGTTGCTAGTTTGTTTCAGGAGATCAACCAAAATGGTTACAACATCCTCTATTTAACAGCGAGATCTGTTGGACAAGCAGATTCAACGAGACAGTACTTGACCGGTGTCAACCAAGACGGTGTAAAGTTACCCAGTGGACCCGTGATCTTGAGTCCAGATAGAACATTTGCGGCATTGCGACGAGAAGTTGTGTTGAAAAAGCCTGAGGTGTTCAAAATGGCGTGTCTTTCGGACATTATGCATTTATTTTTTGAAGGGGAAGGTACAGTGTTGGATGAGGATGACGACCAAACACCTTTCTATGCTGGGTTTGGTAACAGAATCACAGACGCTATTAGTTACAGATCGGTCCACATTCCAAGCCACCGAATCTTCACAATAAATCCTGACGGAGAGGTTCATATGGAATTGTTGGAATTGGCTGGTTACAAGTCATCTTATTTGCACATTGGAGAATTAGTTGATCAATTTTTCCCTCCAATCAGGGTGGTCAGTTCCATTTCAACAAATTGGAATAATGCGCAATGGTCGGAATATGTAAACAACCATGAGCTTGATGCGTCTGATGCGAGGTCCATTACATCTATGCGCCTGCCCACTCCAGGATCGCCTCGATCGCCTCGATCGCCTGGATCGCCTCGAAATTATGTTGACGAGTATAAAACTGATGAAAAGTTCAATGATGTGAATTATTGGAAAAATCCTTTGGATTTTGATGACTTGAGCGATAGTGATATTGACAAGGATGACTTGGATTTGAAAAATAGTGGATCCCCCAAGTTGAAGAAAAATGAAAAGTTGCTGCATCGAGACCATGAGAAGGAAGAACATACTGATAATCCCGAGCTATTGCAAAAAGGTGCGAGGTCCAAATCGCCTGCATTGGAACGGCCGCTTTCGGCGTCGTCATTCACCTCGCCACTCAAAAATTTTATGAGCTTTAGAAAGAAGAAGGATGATGAGGAGAGTTACAAAGATGCCGAAAAGGTTGATGAGGATGATTTTACCGATGACGATGACGAGGAAGACGATGAGGGCGATGATGATTACACAGATGATGACTACGATGATGACGATTATGATGAAGAAGATTACGATGAGGAGGAGGAGGAGGATGAAGGAGAGGGAGAGGGAGAGGGAGATGACAGCACAAGTCAAAGCTCTATCAAAGATGTTCCTGTGCCAGAGGCGGTCAGAGATGAAATCATCGACAGGGGATCTACAGAGTTTATCAAAGCTAGTGATTTCCAGAGATTGAACATTTAGACTAACTAGTTAAAAAACTTACATTTCTGTAAAAATCCAACATTGGATTCTCTCCGTTCTTTGTTGTTGTAGCTTCGATATCCGCCCATTGCTCTAGGAAACCTCTATGCGTGTTTATTTGTGACTTTTTTCCTGTTATCCTTTGATACATGTCGTTGGCAATTTCAAAGTCGGTTGCAAACATTATATCGAAATACCCCTGTTGCACCATGTAGGTTCTGACATCCACCATTTCTTTCTTTAGCATTGTTTGCACTACAGGAGCATTGAACCCTTTAATAGTGTTGGGCAAGTAGTGAAAGTCTGAGCTGATCAAGGAATGATTGGGAAATTTGTGTTTTAAAATTTGAAAGAATTGAAGAAGCCTTGTTGGTATGTATTCTGGGGTCGACAATTCATCGTTGAATGGAAATATCATTTGCTTTACTTTGAGCTTGGTTGAGGATTCTAGTAGTGGGTGCACTGATTTGTAGAAGCTCTTTAATCCGTCTAGTTTTCCCCTAACCGTGGATTGGTACTTTAGCACTGAGAAGTCGCCATGTTCACGAAGTTGTAAATAGGCATTTGTGTACGGGCTCAACTCGCGTGTGAAGAATTGGTAAAAGTCGCCTTTCTTGTCAATAAGCACTTTGCCCTCCATTGGCTCTCCCGTGTTCATATCGTATGCAATCATGTCGTGTGCAAAATTATCAAACACTTCCAAGGCAATAAAGAAACAGGGTTCGTTGACCACCTCTTTCCATTCAAATATAGATACATTGTGAATTTCTAGGAGATCTGAATCCAACCCCTCATTCCTTAGCTTGTTGCTGTAAGATGCTTTTTGCTTTTTTGCAAGTTGGCTTGATATCTCAATGATTTTGTACTGGGTTTTAGCGTATATTTGGGGCTCGTGCTTTTTGATATAGTTGAGGATGTTGCACATTAGCGTTCCATTTCCCCCTCCCATTTCATATATGATTAAATCCTCGTATGGGTAGTTGCCATTGATCTTGTAGTTGAATAAAATATAACGTGCCAAACTCTCCCCATAAAAAGGATTGAACAACTCAGTTGGGGTATGCCACAACTGAAGCGGTTTGGGCTCGTCTTGATTATACTTTGAATAAGATTCTCCCCAAGCCTCCATAAACCCATCAATGTCTTTGACATCCGGGTAGTTGAATGGTTTGTCCGGGTGGTAGATTTCTGCTTCCTTCGCAAAGTATCCGTAATGTTTGTTGTACAACAGATCCTCTATAAAATCGGCAGTGCTCATCAGAACTCCTTTCGGTCTCGTCTTTCTATCGAGCAACTGTGATGCATTAACCTTGGGGTATGAATTGTACACCTCTTCATTTGATTTTTCGAATGGAAAATTGACTGCTTTTTGATATATGAGTTGTATCGGGTTGAGCGTTTGTTTTGTGGAGGGAACCTTGAAGTTGTAAGTCTTTGGTGAGATTGAGTATTCATAGTGGCTTGGAGGTGGCGGTTCAAGAGCTTTTTGCAACCTGCCTTTGAACAAGTGTCTTCGTAGGGTTAACATTGAATCGACTGAATCGAATGAGACTTGTATTTTTTTTTTTTCTTTTTTTTTTTTTTTATCAACTCGAGAATTTTGGAAAAAAGAAAAAAAGAGAAAGAGTAAACAGAGAGAGAATATAATTTGCAAGCGCGGCTGGCGTGAATTCTCGACCTTGAAGAATCTGTAACCGGTAGCTCATTGCAACTCCTTTCAGAGGTGACCAGAAACCACTGCAAATCCAGTAATAGTGGCTTCATTAGTGTTGGCAGCCATGAATGGCCATGGAATTTGGTAGGCGTCCGTTTATCCTGACAATGTTCACGCGCATAGATGATCGCTAACAAAAAAAAAACTCGTGACCTTGGTGGGACATCTTCAAGTTGCACACACTATTGGATGGAGGTGGTTAATGTCTCTGTAGAGATAGTAGTCTATAGACTGTGCCAAGATGTTTATTTGGCGACTTGTCTAACAATGTTTCA